TTTGGGGGGGGGTGTTTCTTTTTGCTTCGTTGGCTTTTTAAAAATCTGTAACCCCACTTCAGGAAATTTATTTATTCCTTTAAAAGGTTTTTATACCTTCTCCCCCTCACCCCGCCACTTTTCTCCTTGAAATAAGACCCAAGGTGGCTTACAACGTCAGGAGACAACATTTATAACGCCTTGGGTCCTTTTGGGGAGAAAGATGGCATAGAAATATGTTTAATAATAACAATAGTAATTAAAGCTTTAAAAGGGTAGGCCAAGGTGGCTCGCATTGTTAAATGACGATATTTAAAGCCCGGAAACAGTGAATAAGAGACAATATTAAAGTGAAAAATAATGGGAAGATGGTAGCCTTTGAGATGCCACCACCGTTCTCTCCAGCTTGAGATAAACGTGATCAAGAAGGTCACTTCGCTGTTTTTGCTGGTGGGACCCGAGAGAGGTCATGTCTCCCGTCCTGGGCCCTGCCAGTCCTGGTTTCCAAATAAAATGTGTTTTGTGAATTGTTTCAGGATCCCAGGAGGAGAAACCTGATGACGGTTAACATCCCTTCCTCTTAGTTTGGTGTCACGTCTGACTTGTTTTGTGTTGGGAAATGCTGCCACTCCACTTCTTCTAATGGCTTTCTGGAAATGACTTCTGGAAACATTGATATTCCAGAAACTATTATCTCCCATCCCATGACACCCATTTTTCTTTGTGGATGGACAACTCAGTGGTGGAGGTCTCTGGCTGTGGACCCAGAGGTTGGGAGTTCAGTTTCCCCCCTGGGCCTCCTGGACAGGGAATGCACCTGAGGATCCATGAATCCCTTCTGGTTCTGCAGTTATATGATGATGATGATCATCATCATCCCTTTGCCCCTTCCATATCATGTGGCCATCAGGAACTATGGCAATAGGTTTCCCCTTCTTCCAATTCTGTTTTGCTTTTCCCAACTTCATGATCACCTGGCAATAGGTTTCTTCCAATTCTGTTTTGCTTTTCCCAACCTAAATTGTGTCTCCTGAATTATTTCCCTACTTCTCCCCTGTAGGGAGGATCATGGCAGTTGATATTAACAATCTATGTTTTCTTCTTTCTTTTCACACATTTTTCTTCCAATTAGCTTAAATCCCATGCTAGCATGATCCTTTTCTTCCTCCCAAAAGCTCGGGTTTCATTCTAGGCCTTGTTTCCTCTTTGATGTCATAGTCTTTTTCAGAAAGAGCCTGAGAATAAGCTAACTCTGGTCCTGAATGTTTACCTCTTTCCACAGTTTCACCTACTTCTTTCCCTCACCCACTCATGGTGAATGAAGGCCATCCCACGTCAGAGATGCCATTTGGTTAATCATCAGGTTCTGCCTGTCGGTGGTGCTAGGGAATAGATCCTCTCCATTTGGGCATATGTAATAGCATAATTTGTTTGGGCTGGGTGTTCACCATCCTGGAAGCAGGTGTCTTGGGGAAAACACATGGGAGGCAGGTTATGAGGTTGACAGGAAAACACAATCCCTTTTGTGAACTGGAAGCTATATTTGTGTTCCAACTGATGTAGGTGTCACTCTCCTGCTTCTCCCGGCCTCCACCTCCTGTGTTGCTCAGAGTTAATGTCTAAAATATTTTGCCCTTTTCAAGTTTTTTTTAAAAAGAAAGCAAAATTAACAGCACTTTGGTATTGATCTTAATTTAATTTTGCTTTTTACATCTCAAAGTGGTTTATAATCTCAAAAAAAAAACACCACCAAGAAAAGGCCAATCTAAACTCATTCATTTTTCCTCTGATTGCATAAAAGCAGGGTTAAGCCTGCCTAATATTCAGATGGGGATTGTTGTTCTTACTATGGGATGCCAAACTGCTTCCTCCTTATGGAAACCCCATGCACGAGTGACCTCCAAAATGTCCTTTGTTTAACAGCTCTGTTAAGCTCTTGCAAACTGAAGGCCTTGGCTGCTTTGGGATGTGAGATTACCAAGAAATGCTGACGGTCTTCAGGCAGGGCAAGGAAAGACACTTGACGCTGAACAGCCAGTGCTGCCAGTCAGAGTTGACCATACTGGGCTAGATGGGCAAATGGGCCAACTCAGTTTGAAGCACTTGTTACATGCGTCTGTGAAATACAATAAAATCAAGTGATGAAATCTCAAAGTATTTCATGCTAGTCCCCAAACCAGTTCCAAGGCTAGTAGTTCAAACCTGAGGTTAACCATCACATAGATCACAAATTTAATTGGCATGGGGGAAAATGATGGGCTCTGTGGGTATTTCTACCCAGAGTGCCAAATATAAAAGAGCCCCAAAGTCTGGAACAGTTTGGGATCTTGAGCTTAACCCAAACATTAAAAGCCTGGCTCTTCAGGAAAACTTTTGGGGCTTAGTTACCATGGCAGGACTTTGATCCTTTTGGGTAGTGATTTCTGTACTTGGATTTATTGTTTTATTGTGTCTTATTTCACTGCTACAGTTAGTCTTATAGGGGATGGGTGCTTCAGATGTGTTGCAGCATTTTATTTAATTAATTAGAAAGCGAGTTAAAGCCAAGGTGGGAAATGCAGAGTTATTTTCTGAAGCCCAAAATGCCATTCCTCTATTTTCAGTCATTATATGGGAAAGGGAATTAGACCATGATATTTTGCACTTGTTGTATAAGCACCATGGTAAACTGCTCCTTGAACATCTCAGTACCTTGAAAGCACTATTAAGATCACTGTAAATCAAAAGTGACTTCATGACATGGAACAACAGTAGTTATGAATTCTACTTCAATATGTATTTTTCCTTTTTAATATTTGTGTACCTGTTTCAGCTTTTAAACATAGTACTTTAATGATGTAAGCCACCTTGTGCCTTTTTTAAGCAGAAAGATGAGATAACAATATTTTTATCTATGAGAAGATGCAGAGGAATTTGTTCATTCTAGATAGTAGAGATGTCTCATTGAATCATATAGAATAATGACGTTGGAAGGGTCCTATAAGGCCATCAAGCCCAGCCCCCCGCTCAACGCAGGAATACAAATCAAAGGATATCTTTATTTTTTTCCCACTACAAACCTCACAAGTCTCCATTCTGGAAGTTCCACCTGATAGATAGACACCTTACTAGCTCTAGGAAGTGAGGCGGAGCTAGGCCTGTGCTAAGTTGCAAAGCCTTCCCTCTTAGACTTTTATTTCAGGTGAGTCACAATGAGCTGTCCGTCAGGATAAACTCCCAGAATGGAGGAGTTCTTATAAACAAGCTGTAATTAGTAATGCTACAGAGAGCCCAGTGTAGTGCAATGGTCCAAGTGTTGAAATGGGAGCAAGGAGACCTGAGTTCAGTTCCTGATCAGCCCTAGATACTCACTCGAGGGTGGCAATGATGAACAGTTTTTTGAACATCTCAATCCCTTGAAAGCAGTATTAAGGTCACTGTAAGTCAGAAGTGACTTGGTCAGAGCAACAACAAAGGAACGCTACTTCAATATGTATTTTTTCTTTTTTAATATCTGTTAATTATGTAAGCTGCCTTGAGTCCTTTTTTTAGCAGGGTAAAAATCAACTAAATAAATAAATTCATACCAACAAAGTGGAGAAAGGTTGTACATAAAAACTGGTATTATGTAAGATGAAAGATGGCCCATTCAAAGTGCCAGTGAGTGTGACCTCTACCATGGAAACTTCTCAGACTCCCAATGTCTTGTCATCATAGTTGTACTACCTTAATTTCAGTAGTCTGGTGTGAGACAGCAGTGTGGGAACACTACTGAATTTCTGCTGTGCTGCTCACCTACTGATGTGACGGTCTTGACTTCTTTTACCATTCAGGCTTACAGGAAGCTTGCCAAAGAGTACCATCCCGATAAGAATCCAAACGCAGGTGATAAGGTAAGACCTTTTGCACCTCCTGCCAGTATATATCCTATCAAGTAAAATAGCATGTATTCCAAGTTCTGAGAAGCTGAAGTGATAATAACTTGGGGGAGATAAAGGGCCTGGCTAGTGGAACATAGTCACAGCTGAGATACAGTAGCCAAATTCATGGATGCAAATCTGTTATGTCTCACTCTGTTCCTTACTGGGAAATAACCCCACTGCATTTCTCAGAGACAGACACAACACACATAGATGTGCTCATGTGACACAATAGAATTTTAACTCATGAGCTTGGCCATGGAGGTTTATGTGTGACCCCCATGTTCAGTCCTAAGGGCCACACATTAAACGCCTCTGCTAGCCGTGCTGTTCTGAAATAAAATGGGTGCACACTTATGTGCCCCTCCTTCTGTGGAGAATTAGCTAGACACCAGTGGGATAACCAAAGCTTTTAGCTTGCGGTTATCCAACCTGTTAGCAAATGCCTGCAGTTTGACACAGAAGTATCTTAGGCAGATTAGCTGTGAGTAAAGGAGAAAAGTTATGGGCGATAATAGCAAAGTTCTATAAAAGTATGGGCCATTTTTCCAGTAGAGGAGGCGACTGTCCGTGAAAGAGTCATCGGTGGAAGAATAAAGAAGGGTTCAGTGTAGATATGGCCACAAGCTGCTGGTTTGACAGTTCGTGCCAGTTCATTTAGTGGGCAAAAGAGTTGTTAGGATGACACGAACCAGTAGTTCGTGCCCACCTCTCTTTAGATGCCCAACAGGAAGATAGATATCTGTCTGTGCTTCAAGACCAGGCTGGGTTGGCATGGATTCTTCCATAAAGCAGCCGTCCTCATGAAATGGGTAGCTATTGGAGTTGAAGCAGTATGGGATATGTAGTCAGAGGAATGTAAGATGGAGTCAAACAGATTCTGTGTGAAGATGATTTGTGAGACATTGGAATGTGTTTTTCTAAGTGCTTTGAGAATGTTTTTCTGAAGACCGTTACAGCCTGGTTCAGGATAGAGGTGAAGGTCAAATCAAGAGGTCTGTGGAAGACTCAACATTCCAAGCTAATTGGATAAGGGATCAAACACCTGGACTTTCATGGGAATTAAGGGAGGAGGAGGTGTTACAGCCCCTTGAGGCTAATTGGTTTACAGCCAGGAGTTAGAAAGTGTAGAAAATGGACGATGGGTTATGTGAGAGGAATGGAGATCTGTAATGAAACTTTCCATAGGCACAGAAGTAATAGGTTTTTTATTGGCTTTTTCCCCTCTTACGTAGTTCAAAGAAATAAGCTTTGCCTATGAAGTTCTCTCAAATCCTGAGAAACGCGAATTATATGACCGATATGGAGAACAAGGCCTTCGAGAAGGGAGTGGCGGAAGCGGCGGAATGGACGATATTTTCTCCCACATATTTGGTGGGGGACTGTTTAGTTTCATGGGCGGTCAGAGTAGAAGTCGGAATGGAAGAAGAAGAGGCGAAGATATGATGCATCCGCTCAAGTAAGCACCCAAGCGCTTTGGTGATTTTTTTTTTCACCCCTAGGAAAAATCTCTAGAATGCGTTGTTGCTCTTTTTCTCAACGTAAACTGAAGCCTGCAAAACCTGGCTAACTCTTAGCTGAAGCCGCCCAATACTGAAAGGACTGTTAATCTTGGGTTTTTCAGTGTGATGACCAGTCACTAAAATTTGAGCATTTAAAACATGTTCAGCAGTTGAATCGATGTATGTTGGTTAACGTGTATACATCAGTGGTTTCGTGTATGTGAACATATCTGTAAAAGGACCTGTGGAGCTCTCAGTGCGGGGCTGCCAGCCTTTCTTTCTTTCATGTACATTTTGCCTTTCTGATAGCGAACTCCAAGGCAGTGTGCATAGTTCTTCTACACACCTTGTCCTGACAATGTCCTTGTGAGAGAGGGGGTGTGGTTGTCATCCCTCATTCATTGGTGGCTGGCAACTGATCCTCTCCCTCCACCCCCACCCCATCCCTCTTCCACTCCCAACACAATGGCTGTATTTACTCAACATTTCTGCATAAGAGTGATAATTTAGAAACTTGCATCCGTCTTCACACAATGTGGGTATTAAGGGTGTCAAAACTAAGGTGCCACAATTGCCAATACCTGGTTGTGGCTTTTTACCTGTTTTACCTGTGGAGATGGGGGGGCACTGGAAGAAACTTATTGGGTGCACTTTACTTTGGGAGAAGGTGGTCTTTACATGCCTTAAACACAAGCTGCTCTGGGCTTTAGAAGTGTGGAAACAGACCAGGCACCGTTGAAGGTGACGGGGGATCCCCCTCAGTTTGCAGCTGATTCAGGAACGGTAGACTGATGCCGACAAGGTGGCGTCCTGGAAGTCTTCTCCTGAAATCATTGTCCTTTCAGTGATTACGGTTGAATTTGGCCAATCACTTTATAAAGTAGCCAATGTCGATTTAAAATGGAATTATGTTAAAGAAATCTTAGTAGAGAGGTATCTGATTTTATTAAGATTTGATGCATTTGCTTAAGAATCCGGATACTGTTCTAGATCTGCACAATACTGACCTTAGATTTTATTTTGGGTCCGTCAGTAATCCTCAATCCTTTGTCACAGAAGAGTTTTAAAGAACTTTTACTTGGATTGTACAGTATTCCTTCTTATATCATGACAAATGGGGAAAGAAGCAGAGAGTGATTTGGTGGAATGGCATATTTGAGCTTTACCCAGGCTTTAGGTAACTCAACAAATTAATGAGAAGGAGAAACTAATGAGTGCAGCAGAACAATTTCATATTGGTCTGATGAGTAGCTCACAGTCAACCTGAGGCTATTGTTCTGCGAAGTCAGTGTGATTAAAAGCATTGACATGCAAGTTGTCAAGCATCTTTTTACAATGAAAACCAACAAGTTGGAACAGTGAAATGTTTCAGGTAGATCAAGGGTGAAAGAAAGGAGCACTCACAACATCTAGAAAGCTTGTTTCACTCCATCTAGAGCGTGGGAACTTTTGCTTTCCTTGGATCCTAGGCTGCAGAGAGGCTGACGTAAAATGGAGAAATATGAGAATCTCGCACGGAGGACAAAAGAAGCCAGCTTTTGCAGCTGTTACCCAGGGGCTCAAGGCCTGGGCACTGAACTGAGGTGGATGTCCACAGATGTTTTGCCCAGACCCTTGCTTTTTCCAAACTCAGCCTTGTGCATAAAAATATGGAAAGCAAAATGTGAATAAATGACATGGGGCAGGAGAAAATAGGCAAAACCTAAGAATCAACCCATTTGATGTTACTTTCCAAAATTACAGAGGTTATAAAGCTTAGGTTACATTTTTGCAGGGCTCTTAATTCACTTCCTTTTAATAAGTGAGGATGGGGCTTAGTCAAACGCTGCTTTTAGAGTGGAGCTGAAATGTTCATGTTGGAAAGAGCTTGAAATCTTTGTTTTTTCAATGTTGTTTTGACTGAGGGATTCTGGGTGTTGTAGTCCAAGAAAGTAAAACTTCCCACCCCTTAAAAGAGTCTGGTGAATGGATTATGAGGCTGCTGTTTTTTAGGTGGGCCGTCGCTGGTAGCCACCTGCCATTCTTCAGAAGAAACTACCAGTAGGGCAGTGTGGTAGAATGGATAGAGAGATGGGGTGTTGGAAGGTCCAAACGCAGGTCATGAGTTGATCTTAGACTTCTTGCTGACCTCATTTCCTGTGGTGTTATGCAGATGGAGTGAGAGGAGACCCACGTATGCTTCTGGAGCCACTTGAAGGAAGGGTGGGGCATGATCAATTGCCGTGAGAGCTGAAGGGTTTGGATAGAATTTGAATATGCATCTCAGTGATCTGCGTGAGAGAGTGCAAAATTATCATATGGTGTCAGCAAGACGGAACAGCTGTGGTTGCTCACCTAGCAACAGTTCTCGAATTTTTCTGACCTTGACTAAAATTGACCTTAAAATTTCGTGCCTGGTATTTTCACTGTCTCAGCTATACTGCTTCCCTATTTGAGTAGTGTTTATGATACTTGTAATGGATAAAACCATTTTTCCTTAGTCTTTCGCCTTATTACCTCTACCAAAATTAAGGAGCAAACCATTTTCCCTCCTCTCCAGAGTTTCTCTAGAAGATCTATATAATGGAAAGACTACCAAACTACAGCTTAGCAAGAATGTCCTTTGTAGTGCGTGTAACGGGTGAGTTATTTTGTTGAATTTATCTGGTGGTAAAGATTAATGACTGACATGAAACAAGATGCACAAAATGTTTAATTCTGTGGCTTAATAGTGTCCATTTTGTATCTGTGCTGAAGTTTCTAAACTTCAAGCTGCGTTGAATCGTATTCAGTGTGTGCTGCTTGTACTCTGCTCTTCCTGGTTCCTCTTGATTTTTGTCTGGCTCTCCGATTGATCTCGCCAGGATACCGTCAGATTTCCCCACTTCAGTTTAGGAGTTTCTGCTTTTTCAGATGCTCCCATGCTGCTAGTCGGAATCAAGATACAGTATATAAAACCTAGCTTGCTCTTGAACTATATCATATGTGTTCATACTAATATTGTCAATGTCTTCCGGTGCAGTCAAGGGGGTAAATCCGGAGCAGTTCAGAAGTGCGCTGCTTGCCGGGGCAGAGGTGTGCGCATCATGATCAGACAGCTGGCCCCGGGGATGGTTCAGCAGATGCAGTCTGTCTGCTCTGACTGCAATGGAGAAGGTGAGCCAACCAGTTCTTCTGCCAGTTTTGGCAAAGGAGGAAGTCGCCCAAATGTTCTGGGAGCTGCGATCCCACATGATCGAGTCTGTTGCATTCCTAAATGGTGCCGGTTTGTCTTTGCTTAACCGGTTGGCAGAATCCCTTGGTCTTTCTTTTCCTTTCGTATTTGTGATGAGGAGGACTGTCGTGTTTTAAGGATGATGCCGTTTTGCGTGCAATGAACCATCTCTGGTTGTAGACCAGTGGGATTCCGACCAACCTTGGGTTCCCAGATGTTCTTGGACTACAACTCCCAGAAATCCTGGCCAGAAAAGCTGGTGGTGAATGCATCTGGGAGTTCTAGCTCAAGAATATCTAGGGACCCAAGAGTGGGAATCACTGTCTTAGATGATTCACTTGCCTTCTGTTACGACATTGCTCTTCAGTCCAGTTCTTACATTGTGGGAGTTGCGACTCAAAGAGATCATTTTGAAAGAACTGCTCCAACACTGGAGGTCTTCCGTGTCTTTTTCCTGGAGAGTTCCTGCATTGGTCTTCACTGGATCAGCATGCAATAGAGCTATAGGGAAGCAGCAGCCAAACCGATCCTGTAAAACAAGAGCTGGCTCTTCTCTGAGGAAGTGCCATGCAGAGGTCAACTCAACGGTTTGTGCTAGCTCCCCTCAATGTTTAAAGGAAAGCCGTTTTGAGTGGGAAATCACTGATCGGAATAAACACAGCCCATTTGACAGGCTGCTAACTAACAGTAATACTTTAAAGTAGATGAGAGGGACTCTTAAGAATTCAGCGCTTACAGACATGAATGTCCTGTTTCTCCGCAAGGAAATACAAGGGATTACAACACGCAATCTCTCTTCTTCTTTTTTTTTCCAGGGGAAGTAATTAACGAGAAAGACCGCTGTAAAAAATGTGAAGGGAAGAAGGTGATAAAAGAAGTGAAAATCCTTGAAGTTCACGTAGATAAAGGCATGAAGCATGGGCAGAGGATCACTTTCACCGGGGAAGCGGATCAAGCCCCAGGGGTCGAGCCAGGGGACATCGTCCTCCTGCTTCAAGAAAAAGAGCACGAGGTAAATCTGTCACACGAGGTGCAGCACTGCCTTTGGGGATGTGCTGTACGTTTGATCCAGATTGTCCATGAGACAAAAGAAGGGTTCAAGCCAATGTGTTCACCCGATTCTTCTTCCAGAGCGAATGTGCCCAGGAGTAGCCCAGCAAGTCTCCCAGTCCCTGGTTTGAAATGAGCATGTGGGAGTGAATGCCAAGGGCATGCATCTTTCAGAGGAGGGTTTGAAATGTCCTTCTTTGTGCCCTGCACTGTGTGTAGATGGCAGGTTTCCACAAAGCAGAGGGTAGCTTCTGTTGGTCATTGCACCAATTCCCAAATCCAGATTAAGGCCATTAGTTACTGTGCAGTTTTTCTTACAAAAAAATTGAGAGAGGGTGGTTTTGCTAAACAAAAACACACACAAAAAGGCTTCTTTTATGCCCTCTGCTGGCCAATTTTTGAAAATTCTCTAGAAAGCAGTAGTAGGACTCTGCAGAAAGGGGGGGGGAAAGGAAAATAGTTTTTAAACAGTTTTTTTAGGCTATAAGAGTGCTGTGGGCCTGTATTTAGACCCCTTGGGCTCCTTACAACTGTTTCAGTAGCTTGCCCCAGCAGACTGAGGCATCCCGGTGGCAAAGGAATGTATTATTTTTCTGTCATTGCAACTCCTAAAAATGTATAGTTTTTTTTCCAAGTACCAAGTAGAATCTAACGCTGTCATATCACTATCCTATGGTTTGAATAACATGTCAGAACGTTTATAAGATGTAATCTTTACAAGTACATATGTTCCGATGCTTGTTGTATTAACCCTTTTGCACTGACTCTACTTTTTCCAGGGATTAATGCACTTGACATTGAGCTATCTCCATTAAGGGGTTAGTTGGAAAGTGGGAAATGAAAATAAAAGGGCTTTGAGGCAACCCAGTGGCCCGTGGCCTCTCTTACAGCACCTTTTCACCTTTTTTTCCCCAAGGTGTTCCAGAGAGATGGGAACGATTTGCACATGACGCACAAGATAGGACTTGTGGAGGCCCTCTGTGGCTTTCAGTTCACATTTAAGCACCTTGATGGGCGCCAGATTGTGGTGAAATATCCTCCAGGAAAAGTAATTGAGCCAGGTAAAATCCAGTGGTCTTCTGAAGGAATTTGGAAGGCAGTGACCCATCGGTTGAGCTCGTGGTATTTCTGCATGGTGGCTTCTTAGTAATTTCCTTGCCTCTTCCTTTCCTGAACACTAGGCTGTGTCCGCGTCGTTCGAGGGGAAGGGATGCCTCAGTACCGCAATCCTTTCGAAAAGGGAGATCTTTATATAAAGTTTGATGTGCAGTTTCCTGAAAATAACTGGATTAGCCCAGAAAAACTTTCAGTAAGTATTGCAAGGTGGCCTTTGAAATTTTCCCACCCCCCCGCCCCCAGACCTCCAAGAGCATACCTCTCCATTATTGGAAATACTGTACGCAGTTGCCTGAATCCTGCTGATAGTCTGTGTTTGCATAAGACAACTCACATCTGGTACACCTCCAGGCACTCTTAACTCTTGTTAATGAGCAACAATTTGCTGTCCAGACTTCAGCAGTCTCCCTTACGCAAGTGTAAATCAGCAGCAGGATTCTGAGCCATTCACGTCCGACTCTGTAGATGAGCTTTTATGCTGATAGAATGCAGTGTCTTCATCATGGGAGTAAATTGTCATCCGCCAGCCCTGAAGCACTGTATTAAAAATCAGGGCGCTTTTGGTGCATTAATAGCCCTGCTCCCACCAAATTCTTCAGGGCTATATAGAGTTTAGATTAACAACACACCATGCTTTGCGAACAGCTTATACAGTATAATATCCGCACGCCATGAAAATATTGTGTGGAGAGGGAGAACGAGAAACAGCTGCAATGCAAGGCCAACCTCTCATGTAAATTGCAGGGTCAGCTTGCTGCTAATTTAGAAGTCACATCTTGTGTGCGTGGTGAGAGAGAGAAGCATTGATTTTAACTGTAGGTGATTCAGACCTGGAGTTTACATCATTTGCTTTGCACCAGCTTACAGAAGTAATAGGATTCTAGCCACAGAATGCCACATTTTGGAATTTTCTACCATGTGGTGTGATTGTCTTAGAAGTGTTGGATTGAGTTTTGGAGAGCAGGCGGATTGATAGGTATTAACCAGAATCTCTAAGACCTTCCACGTTCAAAGATAGTATGCCTCTGAATTTCAGACACTGAGCAGCACCGAAGGTGGTCATGGATGCTGCAGAATATGGGAACTGGTCTTGCAGAACCAAACTTTGCTAAGCTCTGCTGTTAGCATTTGGTCATCTTTTGATGCTAAAGTACAGAACATTGCTTCATTGCAAAAGAATATACCATGCTCTTTCGTAGAAGTCAGTTACTTGATAACAGGGAAGGTAGTGTTTCAGGACTAGCCAGGCCATGATTTGAGAAATGTCTTTGTATTTGAATGCTTCCTTTTGCATCATTTCCTCCCACTGTTTGTCTCCTAGGAACTTGAAGATCTTCTGCCTGCCAGACCAGACATCCCCACCATAATTAGCGATGCAGAGGAGGTAGACCTCCAAGAATTTGACAGCACCCGCGGCTCAGGGGGTAGCCAGAGGCGTGAAGCTTACAATGATAGTTCTGATGAAGAAAGTGGCCATCATGGACCTGGGGTTCAGTGCGCCCATCAGTAAAAAAAATAAACAAAAATGGCTGGGGTGTCAGGGAGGGTGGGGAAGAGTTACACATGAATTTTTCTCTTCAAAATTTGCCTGACATTTTTTTCAGCAATTGGGTTGAGTACACAATCTACACAAGCCCAGTGGACATTTGTTGCTGTCTGTGTAACTTTTAAATTGGTCCATAAGTATATCCGGAGTGTATAATTTAAACTAACCACACACAAAAAGCTTACATCTTTTTTTTTTTTTTTGACTGATTGTTTGTGTAGCAAAATAAAAGGCACTTCGAAAGAAGACGAGACTCTTTCTCCCCTTTTCACTTGGGTTAAGTTTTCAGTCATTGGACTTGTGCTTGATTTTTACCAGTTTTTGTGTAGATTTTAAGTTCTATATTTTAAATTCAAATTCTACTTTGTAAAGTTTTGTGTAAAACTGTCCCGAGGCTTGGTATTTGGCTGCACCTGCATAAGCTGCTACAAATAGAATAAAGAATTTCATAGCCTGTATCTATCACTTTTAGATGCATGGTAAGGAAAAAAAAAGGCTTGGCACCAAAAGGGTTAGAACGGATGGGGAACCATGGAAGATTAACAAAACAAAACAGAAATGGTTGTAAAAGGTTTTTTTACCATCTTGTGAAAGCTTTTGGAAACGAAATAAAAGCCGTTGATGTATAATGATACTCTTCGTTACTTCCTGATTTCCATAAAATGGCTGAAAATTTAAAAAATTTTCATATCCTAGCCATTTACTCCAAATATTCAATTGGGCAGTTATGGGGTTCCCAACCCCGTACTTGATGAGAGAACACATTTTGCAGGCCAGTCCCAAATGGCTGTGCTTGGTGAGAGATTGGGGGTTATAATCTTTAAAAGTACTTTTTCCAAGCATTATAACCCTCTGAAGTTTAATTCCTGACAGCTCTATTCAAAGGGGCTCAGCAAGAGCCAGAATTTTTTGGGTAGCGTGGTGGGGGGGTCTAGACAATAGCCCAGAGGTTCCGGTGGCTCACTTGATGCCACCTTCTGTCATTAATTCCTCCTGCAGAATATTGTGGGAAACCTGTTTCCCTGCAAAAGCAAATGTGTTAAGAACATCAGAGGGAGTTTGTGAGAGAGGAGTTAAGTGTGACTAGGTGATAAATCAGTCGTAGCCCGTTTTTGAGTTGAGGCGCTGAGTTTGTGGTGAGCCGCTGGCAGCTCATCCGGTCCTCTGAGACTCACATGCCCGAGCCGCCAGACTTCGTCCGTGACACTGGTGTGTTACCTCCTGAAGATCCAGCACCAGACAAGGCAGGCTGGTTTGGAGAGACGGGAGGTGAGGAAAGGTCACGTGAGGACAACAGCTATCGGCTCCTCGAGGGAGCCTGGCATCTAGTAGTTGCTAAAAAACATTTTGTCTGACCCCCGTTTGAAAGCCAGACAAACACCCTGGATGGGTGACTGCTGGGTTTTTCCTTATTTCTACAGGACTGGGAAGGGGGCATTTTTGGCCCTGTTGAAGTTTTGGATTTCAGCTCCCATCAGCTTGCATAGGGTGAGGGATCATGGAGGCTGTAGTCCAAAATAGCCTCTGAAAAGCCAACGATTCCCCCAACCCCATCACTCTAGTAAACTTTCTCTCTGGTTCTTACATGCCATGAAGTCAGATCTGACCTCTACCGACCCTAACAGGCAAGTGGTTTTACCCATTTTCTATCCCCATTTGAACCAGGACCTCCTGAGTCTTCACTATTCTTTATCTGCTACAACACCCTGGAGTACCCTTTCCTCTAGAGCAGCATCTTTTAAATGTAAGGAGCGTTACAGGAAAGACCAGAGGCAGGAGACGCAGGACTGGGATAACCTCTTAAGGGGCCGCCCCTCCCTGTGGAAGTGAGATTGACCCCCACCCTCCTGAGCTCCCCCCCCCAAAATAAGTGGGAACCTGGCTTCTCACCCAGGTGCATACAAACCTCACCCCCTTTTGTCATATTAATTTTGGAGTAAGTTTATGCCGGCCCATGATTCACCGAAGGGGTTTTGTTTTTATATGTCCATTTTTTAAAAAAATATGTTTTTGTTGTTTCCTGGAAGCCACAGAGAGTAGTGGTTTGTCCACTTAAGTGGGCAGGGTATACGTTTAAACAAATTTAAGTCCAAGCCATTGGAGGTTCCATGGAAACATCACCGAGGCAAAACAGCCATTAAGATCTTGGCAACAAGCCATTGTACACTAGCTTGTGCATAACACACACAGGCGCACACACACACACACACACACATCCTGACTTAGCAGGGGTTGTTTAGGGACACCCCACATTACTGCAACGAACAGAACACGGTGTGCTTTTCCCGAGCGGCTCCCTTTTGGGCTCGCTCCAGTCTTCGACATTTGAAACTCAACCATCAAATCGATTGCTGAATGGCAAAATCGACAGCCAAAGTCCCATTCCATCCGTGGGCCTGCTCTGTTTAGGATTAGCAGTTGGATATGATCATGATAGAGAATCTGAAAACGGCAGAGCTTGGAAGGGACCCTGTGGGATCATCTAGTCCAGCCCCTGTCAAGGAGGCCCCGTGGGGGATTCAAACTCCCAACTTCTGGCTCCACAGCCAGAGACCTCGACCCCTGAGCTCTTGAGCAGTTATTTCCCCCGTAAGACTTAAACCAAGCAGACCGAAAGGTTGGCCCCAGGAAAGCTCCATTCAGATGTAATCCACTGAAGGTCAGAATTCGCTTTAAATACGGATTCACATTCTCTCTCCTTCCTCGCTTCTTATTCAGGAATTTTAAGAAAATTGCTACACACTCATTTAAGGCTGTTTGTGAGTTGTCCGCCCAAATTACAAGCATATTTGAATCCCAACACTAAATTACGTTTTTCAGTTTCTAGCTTTACGAACCAGTGGAGAAGGCCCACAGGTTTCTTTATAGGAGAAATAGGAAGTTTAATGTGCAGTGTACAAACTTTAAAAAACGATCGCCTTTCGCCTCATAAACAACTTTTCCAGAATATTCACATACCAGAAGTGGGAGGGAGAAGATTACCCGTCTATTACATTAATTTGATTTAATTGTCGCTTTCCCACAGAGGACTGTCAACTGGTTCTAAGGAAGGAAAAGAGAGACCATAGATTGTACACAAAATAAGCAGAACAAGTTACTTTTCAAAGAAGACTCCATGCAGTAAATTACACTGTATCTTTTTTTAAGAAAACTTTTTCATTGCCCTGTATCTCCAGAGTAACTTAGGAAGTAACTAAAGGCAATTCTTTACTTTCTACTTTCTCAGCAATAATGTCATCTGAATGCTACAAGCAGCTGGTCACCTTCTTGCCACCAAACACACACACCAGAGTAAGCCAGCACTTGACTCATGTGATATTCCTCCTCCATCACTCATTGAAGCCACACCCCTGTAACTATCAAATTAAAAATTGCAGCCACACAGAAAAGGAGTGAAGCTAGCCCTTATGAATTCAAAATCGTGATGTAATTTATTTTGTGGCATTTAAAATTCTGGGTAATACAGTCTGCCACAGTTGTTATTCTAGCTCTGACATCCAAGCTACTCTCACAAATAATCATTCTCTTAAGTTTAGGCTGGAGGTAATAAAGAGGCTAGCGAGTCCAGTGGGCTACCAACACTTTGAGGTAAGTCTTCCTGAAGAGGGAAACTTAGATACCCACCAAAGCCCTCACTTCAGGTTTAAAAAATGTGACATACAAACACATCATGAAAAGCTGAAAGCACCTTCATGCATCCCTCACAAAAGACGTTTGTTGGGAATTTACGCCTCAGCAATCCAATTGGCCGAGGAAGCCCATGTTTACCTCCTGATGAACACCTTCATGCATCCCTCACAAAAGATCCTTGGGAATTTACGCCTGAGCAATCCAATTGACCGAGGAAGCCCATGTTTACCTCCTGATGACCAATCAGAAGACAAAGGAATCTAATTTGCCAGCTACGGGAGGAGAGAAAATCTCCTGCTATGACAGTCAGACATCCTTCATGGAAGACATTCCCATTTTAACAGTTTTGTGGAGAAGTAGCTTTTCCCTCTCCAGGAACTGCTTATTTTGCCCACTTACCACTAAAGTGTGGATATGCTGGACGGTATCGTTGTTTAGTAACTCCACATTGATATTCTGGAGGTCGTCTCCAGCTGAGCAGAGAGTCTGAAAAAAAAAACCAGAAAGATGCCATGGAGAGTCTTCTCTGGAGTGTGTTGTGTCCATCACATCACACACAACAGTCCTATACAAAAAGCTTTCCTCCCCCCACCTACCACCCACCTGAAGATAGGAACAAGCACCACGCTGGGCACACCTGAACTCATCCCGTGTCGGAAGCGAGTTCGGGTCAACCCCGCTTCTGATTTGGCTGGAGATGACCAAGCAACGAATATCAGGGCTCCCCAGGTAGGGCTAGGAAAGGATCCGGTCTGAAACCCTGCAAAGCTGTGGCTGCCAGACAGAGTTGGCAACACTGGCCTGAATGAACCAAGTGTCTACTGAACAGAGCTTCGAAACGTTACTTTGAGAGCAAACACATTCGCATGATTTTCCGAAAAGCAGCTATTTTTTATTACTGGTGTGCCCCATTTATAGAGAAACACATTAACTCGTTAGTAATAAGTAATAACTGTTCCAAGTCAAAAGAAGAGGCCATGTTGACCCACAGGAATAAAACAAAAATCCATTAGAGCCAACACCTTTTTTTAGGAACAGCTATAAATCCACAAACAGCAACTTTTAAGTTCTCTAGAACTTCCCCTCAAGCCACAGAGTTTTTTTAAAAACTCATCTAGCTCTCCATGGGTAATACAATACCTGCCCATCGGCCAGAGGTATGTTGACAAAGGGGACCGATCTTTCGTGGGGCATTGAAGTGCTCCGTAGGGCGGTGGCCTGTGCTCTCTCTGAAGCTGACACGCTTTTGGAGAGCCCCTTCTGGAAGAATCTAGAAAGGGGAAAGCAGTGGAGGTTCGGATGGGTTACAAGCCAGCATTTTTGCTCAACCACCAGTTGCATAAGCATATTCTGGATCCAGAAGGCGACTTGAGCCACCTTGACTCTCTGGAGGCAGAGGAAGACAAGCCATAAATAAAACCGATGGATGACCGAGAAAGTAATAAATTACGGCCGAGGAGTCACGAAACAGACAAGAATGCTTTTGTGGAGTGATATGAAAGGGAAGGTAAAGATCCTTACAGCTGGTCATTCAAGGTAAAATCAAATGGAAAAGCAACACAGGAAGAAAAAGCGTTCTCTTGCTGGAAAAAAACCTGGAAGGCTGGCTTCAATGCAACACAACATAGTTGTTTAAAGCTGATGTGTAGCCAAAGCAGTCATTATGATGCCCAACCTCCAGCAGGTGATGCATAACAATAAGTTTATTTTTGAAAAGTCTCTCTCCATGCTCAATCATTTAAGCACCGGTTATGTGGCATTTTTTTAAAGCTCTTGACTCATGCAATTCTAAGATAATGATGATGTCTTTGTAAATAGTTTACAATACGTTTAAAATGATGGCAAACCACAGAGACACAGAAAGAAACAGCCTGGTGAGAACTGGAGGCATATGGGTCACAGGTGGAGGAGACGCTTCCCACCTCTGTCTTCCCGGGTACCCTACAAAAGAAGATTGGAAGCAGAGATTGGGGCTTTGGCTCATGGTGTTCAAACCTTGATTGGCCGCGAGATTCCAAGGAGAGCTTTACGTCTAGACCGCTGCAGAAGTGGATGTACAATTTCGCACTGACATAGAGCAGAAAGCTGCAGCAGATTGCGCGCTTCCCAACATACAGAGAGAGAGAGAGAGAGAGATGTTTGACATAGAGCAGAAAGCTACAGCAGATTGTGCGCTTCCCAACATACGGAGAGAGAGAGAGATGTACGCATGGTGAGTGTGTGAATGGGGTTATTTGAGGCCACCCCTCTCATAGCCTCTTCGAAGGACATCCAGGAAGTTTCATGACTTAGCATGACAAAACGCGGTCCAGTACAACAGAACAACTGGTTCCTAGACACTTCAGAAAGCCTGAGCACGCACCCTAGTCTCCTACGGAGCAGCAGAGTGTGTGGTGGTGGTGGGCAACCCATAGCCTCCTCTTTGTGCCCACTCACACCCTTCCCCCCCCGGACACCTCCCATTTTTCTGGGATTGATGCAGAGAGACACATGCATACGTATTTATACTGTGTGTGTGTGTCTGTGTGTGTATAGATAGACAGATAGACGGATGGACGGATCAGACAGACAGACAGACAGACAGACAGACAGACAGACAGACAGAAGCGCTGAGAAAGGGACGTGGTGGCGTTGCAGGTTAAACCACAGAAGCCTCTGTGCTGCAAGGTCAAAGACCAGCTGTCGTAAGATTGAATCCACGCGATGGAATGAGCGTCCGTCACTTGTCCCAGCTCCTGCCAACCTAGCCGTTCGAAAGCATGTAAATGCGAGTAGATAAACAGGTACCACCTCGGTGGGAAGGTCACAGCTGAGAAAGGGACGTGGTGGCGTTGCAGGTTAAACCACAGAAGCCTCTGTGCTGCAAGGTCAAAGACCAGCTGTCGTAAGATTGAATCCACGCGATGGAATGAGCGTCCGTCACTTGTCCCAGCTCCTGCCAACCTAGCCGTTCGAAAGCATGTAAATGCGAGTAGATAAACAGGTACCACCTCGGTGGGAAGGTCACAGCGTTCCGTGTCTAGTCATGTTGGCCACGTGACCACAGAAACTATCTACGGACAAACGCTGGCTCTGCGGCTTGGAAACGAGGATGAGCACCGCGCCCTAGAGTCGGACGCGACTGGACTAAATGTCAAGGGGAACCTTCACCTTTACTGAAAAGCACTGAACTGGGTCCTTAAACAACAGCAAGACTGACCTTTTGGAGGCCGAGGCCGTTCCCTTAGAGGCTGAGACGGGCCGGTCCCGCAGAGAGGCAGATCGCTCAAGAGTTCGGGCGTTGGGAGTGGAGCAGGCAGAGGCCGACCTGGTGGGACACAAGATGAGAGAACCCTTCAACGGTGCTGGTTGTAGCTGATTTCTTATCCTTGGTTCTGTATCAAGGCTGGAGACATTGCGCAGGGGGTTGGCCGTGCAGGCCTTAGAGACCCCTTCCAGCTCCGTGACTCTATGATTCTATATTTTGGCCCTCTGGATGCTTTGAAATTCTGTTCCTAGAAGCCCTGGCTGCAATAGCTAACAGTACGGAATAGGAAAGATACACACACAACCCCATCATACACAGCAACAAGAACTAACACATGAAAAGCGTTAAGTTAATCGTAGCCAATTTGCTAACAGCAAGGGGCAACCTTTTTCAACTTATTTCTTACGTGATTGAACTCGGATCTCTATTTTTAAACTAGAGTTTTCTCCTGGCCTCCCGTGGGTAGGATTTTCCACCTTCCTTCTGGTCTGGCTCTTCACAATAACAAAGCAGACCTCAATGCCAGTTTAAAATTAACTTAATGCTCAAACAAGAATCCCACTTCTGATGTAAACCTAATCACATTAGATTTATTTTTATTTTTTAACTTAGCAACACAGACATGACTTTGCCAGATATTATGCCAATGCAAACAACACAATCAGATGTGTGATTCCCATCTACATCTGCTCATCAGAAAAGGTAATAAATCCAAGGCAAGAACACCCAAGCTTGGCTACACCCCTTTTTCCTGTGATGCCACCCAGGTTGTTAAATTCCTTTCCTCTTGGAACATTACAGACCGAGGGAATGCAGCTCATCCCCATCATGAGAAGGTAGGAGAGCTGGTCCCTTGCAAGAGCCACCCTGGAAGAGCAGTTAAGAAAGCTAGTTTAAGACCCAGGCGATCCGGGAACATGTGAGGACGGGGTTCTGAGCTTTAACCATTGGGCCATCCTGGACCAGTTTCCCAAAGTCTGGCCTCCCTCGCAGGGTTATCATGACGAAGCGGAGGGAAGCCATGCCCGATATTTGGAACTCACTGGAGACCACATAAGGAATGCCAAAATCAACAAAACCTGATGCATTTCATGGCTGTGGCTGAGGCTACTTTCAAGGTGTTAAGATGAACGAGAAACTAAAGTGGAGTCATTGGCTAGCCTTACCTGGACAAGCCACCTTGTTTCCCCCGGACAGCAGAAGCCAAAGGAACCAGGGAATTGGCTTTAAATACCTGCAGAAGAAATGAAATGGCACATCTTTAAAAAAAAATTATTATTATTTATCCTTTACACATCATTACACTTCTTTCTTTACACTTTACAACCAGCTCAAGGCAGGTTGCAACAGGTTCAGCGTTTCGGTGAACCAAACATCATCAGGATTATTCTCTGATGGTTAGGATGGCCAACAGCTAGGACTCCTGGAGGGGAGGGATACCCCAAAACATCTGGAGAAGGTTGTGCTTGGATCTTGGCACGCCTACCTTGTGAGACATTTTCTTGCCCTGTACCCCCGTCTCCTCCTTCTCGTCCTTGTATTCAACAATCGTGGTGACCTTAACTGGAAGAGATGCCTCAGTCAAGTCCTTTTAGGTGCGGCTGCAGAGATTTTTCAGATACTAAATTTCAAGTCATCTCCCTAAAGCTAGGCCAGGCTATTTATGGCTTGCACTGAAACAGCTACACATCATGACCTGCATTTTTCTGACTTCCTCTCTGTTGCACCCCCTGGAAAAAAAACAGTTTTAAAGGAGCTTCTAGATCAGCGGTTCCCACCCTGTGGTCCCCAGAGGTCCTTGGACTCCAACTCCCAGAAGTTTTGGCCAGCACAGCGAGCGGTGAAAGTTTCTGAGAATTACAGTCGAAGAACATCTGGGGAGCCAAAGTCGGGATCCACTGCTCTAGATCATTATACAAAATTGGAGTGCTGCAGCTTGAATACTCTGAGAGCATAAGAAAAGTCACAGTACTGGATCCAACTAAGGATCTAATCACCTTCACTCAACAACCACAAAGGCCAACCTGATGCCAATCAGCAAGATGTGGGTGTCATGGCAACCTCCCTCTGCTGTTCTCCACTGTGGTATTCAGAGTCACACTGGCACTGGCGCCCCTATAGCCATCAGGATTTAAAGCCACTGACACCACCAGCCTTCTTCTGAGGCCCGAACTACGTGCTACAGTTAGCACATCATTAGAGGCGGACTCCCAGCCCGACAATACAATGACATCTGATTGTCACAGCATGAGCTTGCCTCGATTCACCTTAGTTGGTTCTGTTATGGCTGATCATTTCAAGGGGAACATGGGCTTTCTTTGCTCTGAAAGAATTATGCACCTGGAGGCGAAACACAGTCGTAGCAGGAAATGCCCATTTCTTTTAATGTGTCCCTTGAACCCGAGCTGAAAGGTCTCTGTACCTCGTTTGCTATTTGTCCTCACTAGCTTGGCTTGTGTCCCACTTGGCTTGTGTCCCACGCAGTAGTCATTCTGTTGGGAGAGAAGGAGAGAAGTGACAGCTGGTGGAATCAGGACCAATGCATGACACCTTGCAGAAAAGGCCACCATCAACGAGTATAGCAACTAAAGGCAGCCAAAGGACTTTGGCAAATGCCACCGGCGCCTCTCCTTGTCCCTGGTTGGTTAAAAAGAAGAATGATCACAATGCATTTCCTACCAAACCCAATCAACTGCCGAGTTTCATGGCTCCGGTGTCAGCAGGGTAGTGAATCCACTCCTGGTTTTTATTTGGTGCTGACTCTATTTGGGGGATAGGCTTAAACATCTTGGGTTGCTCCTGTAAAATCTGGATTAAAACCCAAAGGGGAATCACCGCCCCAAATATATTAGAGCCCCATTCCTCCCTGCTCCCACCCCAAGGATAGGGCCAGGCTTGCCGTCTTCTTTCAAGAGATGTATGCCCAGAAGAAATGGACAGCTACAGGTGCAATTCACCTACTGGCGATCTCCCAATCTTTAAATGATAAGAGGATTCTTTCTTCCCAGTGTCACCCAGAAGTTCTTTTATCAAGCTGAGAGAGAAAAGGGGAAGTGGAACCAGAGTGCCTTGGAGTCAGCTCCTTTAAGCTTTTCCTTCCCCCAGGGGTCATCAAAAACACCATTACACTGGAAAAATCTCAACACTGGAAGAATGTGTGTTTTCCTTTTCCCTCCTCCTCTCTCTTTCCTTTCATGTGGCATCTCTTTTCTAGATTGTAAACCCAAAGGTAATGCACCGTTTGGTCTTTTGAAATACTGGACAGGGTGAGACTTTTTCTAGCTATAGAGCAGAGTACAAACATTGGAAATCAATAAACAGAAAGTAGCAGGGGGTCACCCCCTCTGCTTTGGATGCATTTCGGCAGAGTTGAGGACCGTTCCAGATAAACTTACGGCTTCAAGGGAGGCGGCGACAGTGGCAGCAGCTTCTTCTTCTTTCAGACCTGCGGGACAGAGACAGGCAAAGCCAACAAAGTGGTAGATCACCAGATTATAAAAGCTGGACAAAACACAAGCTAGCTTTGCAATTAGAAAGTGATAAAACATTATCCTTCCGGAGAAGCATTTCCTTCAATGCTTTCATTTCTGAGCGATTAACCTTCACGTGAATCCCACACTTGTCTCCTGACAAAAAGTCACCAAGCAAAAGTGAGGTGATTTCCGTGGACAAGGAGATGCCTTTACTACTTAAAGAAGCTACACCTCTAATCCTGAAGCTGACGCCTCACATTATTTGGCCCTAATTATGGGGTTAAAATTTCAACTTTTGGGGGGGCAGGGAGAAGTAAGAAGAGTGGATAAAACAGAGAGATGGCTTGGGGATCAGATATTAAATATATATATTCGTGAACTAGGGATGGCTGGAGTGATTTGCCCTTTGCTGATGCTACAAGGCGAGACCCCCCTCCCCAACATTTTGGATCCGGTGTGTACCAGTCTGCCTCAGGTTTACCACCTGCCTCGCCTATGGATGGGCCCTGGGGGGACCATGGGGACAGCAGCCCCCTCTCCTCACCCTCCTATTTGATCCTAAACACACACCCACATGCCCCAAACCCACAAGATCAACACAATTTTTCTTTCCAGCCGGAGCCAAAAAGGATCGTGCCCACCATCCCCCAGCCAAAAATCTTTGCTCCAGAGTCCAACCAGGTTACTCCGGCCACCCCAGGCAGAAAACCCTCCAGGCAACAACCCTAACCCTCCCCACCGAAGACAAACCTGGATCAGAGGATGGAAAAGTTTGGGCGGTTTTGTCCTGGAACTCCCAGACCCCGCCAGCCAGCCAGCCAGCCAGCGGGGAGTCCTAGTTTTTACAAGTTACTTTACCAAGCTCTGATTTAGGCTTAGTGACACTAGGTCTACTCGGAGTATGACTAGGATCCCAACTGGAATAGGAACGCCATGCTAACTTGCCTGGATCCCCGCCCGTTCTCTCTCTGCCTAAACGGTAGGACTTCTGCTCCTTCTTCCCAAGGAAGGAAGCGCTCAGAAACGCTCCTTCTCCGACTTTGACCCCCGTGTCCACCATCCTCTACCCAGGTCGGAGGAATTTTTGGAAATGGCGTCCCCGCCTCCCCAGCACCTCCTCCTCTCGGGCACGGCTTCTCCCTTGGGAGAAATCCCTTGGGGTGAAAAGGCGAAACAGGGGAGAAGGGAAAGGAGGCTTCTCTCACCCATCAGGTCCTTCCTGCGCATTTTGCGCATCGCCACCGGCACGGCCAGGGACTCCACCTGGAAGGCCTGCTCGGCCACCTGCAGGAGCGAGGCCAGCTCCTTCTTCATTTCCTGCAGGGTTTCCTTCGCTGGACCCAGCCGGGAAAAGGAAAAGCCAAAAGAAGCAGAGTTTGGGGGGAAGGAAACGCGCAGCCCGACCAGCCTTTGACCAGGACGCGCGCCCAGGAGGAGAACGACCTCCGCGCGGGTCTCCCCCTCCACCACCACCCACCCCCGCGAACGTGGGAAGGTCACTTTTAGGGACTACAAACCCCAGAATCCCCCCAGCCACCAGAGTTTCCCGGGAGTTGTCTCCCTCTCTAAGGACAGGCTTTTTCGAAATATCTCTGGCCCCCTGAACCGTGTTAAAAGTGGCTCTAAGAGGGGAGCCTTGTAACGGACTGCCCTTCTCATCCTCCCCCACTACGGGCTAATGGAGCTTGTAGTCCAGAGACGCTCCTCCGCACTGAGACAAGGAAGTCTGAGGACGTGAACTTGTCCGCGAAAGTTCAAGTTAAAACAGAACAGCTAGTCTTCAAGGTGCCGCAACGTGTTAGTGTTTTTTAAAAAAAAATACAATTTTTTTCCCCCTGACGCGCTAGCGCAGACTAAGGCGGCGATGTCTTCTAAAGCCCCGCCGAGAGAGGAGCAGGCGGAATAACCCGCAGGGCGAGGCGGAGCAGAATTCAAAAGCACCGGAAAATATCAAGAGAGTTTCTGGAACAGAAATGTTTTAAGATGCCGTCTTCTAGACGCCTAGCCCCGGGAGAAACCGTCCGTGGAACGGCCTTAAGTCGACCCGGTTTGCTGGAGAATCGTTGGCGTTCGGCTCCAACATAGGGGAGGTTTCCAGGATTTGGGGGTGCCAGGAGCGCACCCCACCTTGGCGTGTGGCCAGGGCACGGCCCTCCCTTCCCCTCCCGCCCTGAACATCTCACCCTGGTGGTCGAAATCCCGCAGAAACAGCCCGATGCGCTGGTCCCTCTGCTCCTTGCCCAAAAGGCTCCGATCCGGTTCCACTCCGGAGTCACTGCCGCGCTTCTTGGCCTCTTCCAGACGCTTCCGGAGCGCCATGACGGGCTCCCTCTCGCCCCCCACCCGTGTTCAGCCCCAGACAGACTCAGGAATCAGGATCTGGTGGTGGTTGGGAGAGGAGAAAAATATGATTTGAACCGAGGGTCAAATTTATCCGCGCCTTTGAGACACCCAACCATTCATGCCTCAACAAACAGGGCGGGAGTTAAGGTCCTAGTCCTCTGTAAGGATGAGCCCACCTCGTGAAATGCAGAGGGGAAAACTCCCGCACCTTTAAGAGCAGCCTGGGAGTCGCTCTGTCAACAGGTGTGGCTCCTTGTTCAAGGCTGCAAAGGGTTAAAGGCAGAGGAGCCCTCTCTTCTCTCGTACGTGGCCACCTTCCTCCTAAGCCACCTGTTTTTCTAGGAAAGGGGTGAGCGAGCTCAAAAATTCTCCATATTAAGGCCAGCTCCAGGAGTCAGAACAAGGCACCCAACTTTGGTCAAGAGGGCCCGGGCAAGTTCTGAGTGGGCCTGACCAGCCACCTGGAATGGGCCAGAGAGCTAGAAAAACTCAAAACGGTGTGCCTGAATAAGAGTACTAATAAATGCGTCCAGAAGTTAAGACAGAAGCGTGGCTGGCAAGGTGGACGCACTAGAAGTTCTGGACTAAGAGGGGCAGTTGAGTCAAACTCCCACCTCCTTCAGGCACCTCTCTTTCCTTTGACCTTCATATTAAGCTGGATGGAATGATGCTTTTCCACAAGGATATATTGTTATAGGTAACCTTGGTCAGCTTGAAGGGGCAATCAAGACCCTTTAGCTTTACAAAAGACCAGCTCCTGGGTGGTTGATACCACTCAGCACAGCTGCCTGCACTTCGAGGCTCTTCCGAAGCATTTGTGTGACTGTAAGAGACTGTTGTGGTGATGATGATGAGCATCTGCACTTCCTGCACCTGGGAATTATCTGATAAATCTCTGGTCTTCCAATTTCATGCCATCAGATAAGTTCGAACAGCAATTCCTGGCTTACTGACACGATGGGTATGTTTAAAAAGTCATTGCCAGGAATTTGATTTGAGCTGAAATACAGGTCAGCCACAGCGCTTCCATTTAAGATGTCATCCTTTTTTATCCATGGCTTCTTTTTTGTATGTCTAGGGACCTTTGTATATCTAATGGACCTTGTAGTCCAGAGATGCTCTTCCACACTGAGACAAGGAAGTCTGAAGACGTTAATTTGTCCACGAAAGCTCACATTAAAACATGTGCTGATAAGCACATGGCAAATCCCCCCCCCAAGATTGATGTGCCCTCTCTTCCTGCCACGTAGGCCCCTGTTCTCTGCTAAATTTCACGTCTGAGATTTTTTTTCCCACCATCAAACAGGTTCTCATAGTGCTTATTTATTTGTTTATTGAAGTTGTTGGTACATTAAAAAAGTCATTGTCGTACATGATGAGGAGCACCTGTAGGAAACGCAGGCCTACGAGCATGCATCGTAAAGTTAGACTGCTTTATTACTCAAAGACTAACATGAAACAAGAATGAGAACAATCCACGACATAATTTTCCCCCATGTCTTAGGGCTGAACCCCCCAAACCATTACTGGAGAAACAACATTCTCTGAGTTTCAAACACCAGACTGGTGACCTTAACTCATGCACAACTGAGTCAAACTTTATTCCTTAGCAGTAAACACAATCAACTGTATGATGACTTCTTACACACAATTCTTGTACAGATGCAGGGGGGGAAATAAAACCATACATTCTCTCTTGCAGTCCCAGAAATCAAAAAGGCACCATAATAGATTTTTTTAGAAAACACAACGGAAGGTAGTTTGTACCCTTGGTTTAAAAATAAACTGAAATTACTGTTGCCCACCCCTGTATTTAAAAGACTGAAGGGAAGGGAAGGAGGGGGGAGAAGAAAATCTTCGGGAAAACACCCACTGCAAAAAAGATTATTTAGAAACATGTAAACCTTGCATTGCTTTCTGGAACACTGGGTGTAAACACAAGGTAAATATAAAACCCATCGGGTTAATAAGATTACAAATGCTACCCTTTCCCCACCCACCCCTTGCCCTAAACCCATGAAAAAAACTCCATTTACAAAAATATTTTTAAAATATATCATAACTACCATGGCAAGAGCGCGAGGAGTTCATTACAGGACCGCCTTTCCCAACCGCCCGGCCTGAAGAGTTGAGGGGAGAGAAATGTATTGGCTCCAAAATTTGGTTTTGTTAAACCGAAGTCTTCGAAGAGTTAAACTTACTACAACTTTTTTTAAAAAACAAACAAACGGGATTATCAGCTGAGGTTCACTCTGCTTCCATGCTTAAGAAATCATGCCGGGTCCAGAGCATCTTGGTGGGCGAAGAGATCAATACATGCAGGGGCATTGTCTCTTATGCTCCTGTCCTCATATGGCTCTTATAAGGGGGTGGGATTTGGAGGAGACAATATTGGGAAAAGCTTGTTCCCGTTTTTTAGGGGCTGTTGCATCCTGGCAGGGGGGCACATCCAGGACAAATAATACCATGAAGGAGATAACAATCATTTGCTTTTTTTTTTTCAAATTCCACGGCGTCATCATGGTCCAATCCTGCCCATATCCTCCAAGTAAACGTGTAGGACTGCAAGCCCTGGTTTAGAAAGGAGGAGGTGGCAACTCACCGCTTAGAAAAGGGTTTGGCCAGCGGTTTGAACTTTGACCCTCGGCAATCTCCAGCAAAATACCAAAATCCTAAACCAGGCCGAGGCACGCAACTGAAATGTCGGTCGTCCGTGAGAAATATTAACAACAGAGCATCTTCCACTATGTCTCAAAACTAACTCCAGATGGGCCAAGGTGGTTCAAGAATGCCTTGTTAATTGGCAACGAGAAACCAGCCCGGGCAGGAAAGGCCGCTCCACTCAGTCCAGCCAGGTGGAAAGCCGGCTTCTGTGTGCTGCCCTGTCGTTTGGGGACAATGTGTTACAGCCTACGCAAAAAACCCACACATTTACAGAACCAAAGAAACTGACGCCAACGGGAGTGCCACTTTGTACTGCGTTGTTCTAGAATATTCTAGAGAAACAGGTCCCGGTGCAGTCCTAAGGAGGCTTAGAAATGTAAAAGCCTTCACAAGAGAATCATGTAATTTTTCACTGAGCTTCTAAGTTGGCATTTATCCGGGTTAAAAAAGGAGGATCCTATAAGGCAGGTGAGCATCCAGATAGTAATACAAATAGCTGTTGAATGGGAAAAGAATCATGTAATCTTTCACTGAGCTTCTAAGCAGGATCCTATAAGGCAGGTGAACATCCAGATACTGTACCTTAATAGTAATACAAATAGCTGTTGAATGGGAACTTACTTTCTGACATATTCTGTGACCTTCCAACCCTCACCCCTTTGTCTACGGTCCTTTTCCACTCAAAATGATTTGAAGTAAAACTGGCTGCCCTCTTCTATGCAAGCAAACACCCAGAGGCATGCAGGTTTGCGTTTTCGGACAACAGCTCTCAGAATTCTGGGAGATGAAGTCCAAAAACAGAAATCTGTACACCTTTTACAATTACTACCATGCCAACCTAGACTTTAAATTACGTTCTCTTCTGTGCCTGGCTAACTTACTCAACGTTTCCGTTTCTACAGCAGTATCTATTCCGATACAAGCCAGACAGTGGTGTTCTGATCACATCTGCTGCAGACTTCCCTCTAAGCCCCCACTGTATTATTATTTGTAATTTTCATTCATGCTTGCAAGCAAAAGATAAATAGGGATCGCTGTGAAAGCAGACGTCTGGCAATTTCTAAGATCAAGGGTAGGGGAAATTGTTCACATACTGATAAACTCCTGCCCCCACTATCCCCAAACCACTGGCTATGCAGGGTGGAGGATGATGGGGGTCGGAGTCCACCACCCTTCTACCCTCGTTGTCTTAAATCCTGAAGCAGAACACTGTAACGTGTACCTTTTTTGTCTTGTAATGTGAAGTCCTGCTCAAATTAAATGTCAGATGGGGAGGTGGGGCACGATCCAACAAAAAATGGTCTCCTCCTGTTGCTTCACAGAAGTGAACATTATCATACAGAAACACAGACAAGTCACGGGCTGTCCCAAAAACTACAAATGCACAATTATTATTATTATTATTTTGAGATTCACTAGAAGGGGATGTTTCGCTAGCCCCCAACCCACCACAGAGGAACATTAATTGGCAATGAGTCGCCACGTTGGTCAAATGTTGCTTTCATGTTTAAGATCAAATATTGCAATGTCACTGTTTCTCAACAACAACAGTGTTAAAAACTCTTATTAAGAACTTCCCTCTCTCTTATTTCGCCAAGAACACAAGCCCTACCCATTCCCATATTTTCCGGTCAAGGCACAAAACTGTTCTCTTTGAAAGAAAAATCCTCCCTTCATGTCCATCCTTTTCCATAAAATTGAAGCAGTAATAGCATATTCCATCATGGACGCTGGGCTGGGGGAGGCCGGGGGGGGGGAGAGATGCAGGTCCGTTCCAACGGCATAGCTGCCCGCTAGGGTGGATCTGATTAAAGAAGACCAGGAGCATACTTTTTTCCCCCATCACAGCTTTGTTTCGCTTTCTCGATTCACACATTCTGGGAGAAACGAAGAAAGACAGTTCTTTTATTCTCCTTAAGAGTACTCTTCCAGAAATTTTATGTGGAAGTCTTTCACTTTGTCTAGCAAGATTTTCAACTTCTCTACTGGAGGGAGAATGGTCATCCTAAGGAGGAGAGGGAAGAAGAAGAAGAAGAAGAAAAACATAGAATTACAACTTGGCAAATGAAGATCGAACCCAACCAGTTTGGCTATGAAAAACCACAGAGTCCACCTACCTAAAATGGTACGTGCCTTCTCTCTGACCAAACCCACTCCCAGGAACGACACAGATTCCCGTTTCCTCCAGGAGCTTCATACAGTAGAACATGTCGGGAGCCATCTTATGCGCCTAAGGAGGGAAAGAGATGTCACTTCAAACAAGGCAGCCCAGCCGGTCATGTATTTCTCCCCACACTGGCGTCTTTTTCAGCTTGTTTCCGTTTGACCGGCCCTCTGAAAAAGGCCTCACACCAACGGTGAAAGCTGTCCTCACTTTTGGGGGCTTAAATGTTCACAATCTAGCCGCTTCATGGCCCACAGATTTGAGAGGGGCATGACTCAAGCGTGGCCATCTTCTTGACTTACCTTACTCTCGGGTGTCAAATGAGACCACTAGAATATGATTCACCTGGTCACAATAAGGAGAACTGTGTATTGAGTTTGGAGCCATGGTATGCCTTTCCGTGCTTGATTTTCCACATTTCCCCCAAATATGCAAAATTTAAAGCCACAACACCAGTCACTTTGCTCCATGAACCAGCGAAACACAAGTGTCCTGCATGGGACCTTTTGGTCTCTGTAGTGTTTGGTATCGTGTTGGAGGTCACCACATCCCACAAGAGGGCTGGAGATTTATCAGGTTATCGGAATTAAAAACCAACCCCATGGCAACATTTCTTCACATTCCGAACTGTGAGAGCTTTTCCGGTCATTTATTTATTAAAAATATTTCTACTCTGCTTTTCTCCTTAAGAAGGACCCAACAACTGTGAGAGCTTTTCCGGTCCTTTATTTATTAAAAATATTTCTACCCTGCCTTTCTCCTTTAAGAAGGACCCAAGTTGGCTTACATCATGCAAAGACGGTATTAAAAATCAGCAAGTACTGGCTTACATCGTGCAAAGACGGTATTAAAAATCAGCAAGTATACAAATGCTAAAAAAAAAGGATCAAACAAATATCAAAGGAAAAGGTGGGAAGCAGAAGTAACATCCAGACACATTCCAAGGAGTGAGGCACAAAAATCTATTTAAGTACCCCACTCAGACATCTGGTAATTAATTATTGGCAGTACCGTACATTCCCAGACTGAGTGGCACTCAGAAATATCCTTTAACGCTCCGTGGGAGATGTAAGTTAAAGAAACGAACAAATAAATAAATAGCCTTTCTTTCTGAGCCAAATGTGGCTGCAGAGGCTGGATCCTGAGTTTGAGGAGCAGAGTGGATCCTGAAAGTTGGACGCCTTATGTCTGGTATAAACCAGGATCCCTGCTCAACAACTATCCCCCAAACTCCCTTCAGTAAAAATAAAGGGGGGGGAGGAATATGAGCTGAAGTCTCACCTCAGCCACCTCTATGGCCTTGGACGGGATAAAGATCCGTGGGAAAGCGTACATGGCTCCTTGGAGTGGGTTGCAGTGAATCCCTGGGACTTGATTGAACATGTCTTCCGTGAGCTTGGCTTTTTTGGCTAGGTTGTTCAAGACAGACTCCTTTTCCTATTTCAGGGAGAAAAAAAACAAGGGTTAGCTTCAGCCAGGAAGCAAATCAGCCCCGTGGTGCTCAAAACCACCCACATTGTTCAGCGGCGACTTTGATTTCCTCGAAGTGGCACTTCTCAGAACTTCGACCCACGGCTGCCCCTTTTCCTTCATGGACCGACCGGTCTGCTACGGGCGCCTCGACGGGGAGGTGTGGGGATTCTTGCAGGCCACTGGGTGAGAGCAGGGGACCTGAGAAGGTCTGGGAGTAACTGACTGTGCATGTGTGGAAGAGGGGCTGCATCCAGTTGTTCGACCCAAAACAACATGCCTACACTCTGAATTCTTTCACTCCAAAGGACATGCCTTGTGCACACAGTTCCAGTGGTTGGTATTCAAAACGCTGGTTAAAAACATCCTCTAAATGTAAAGTCTGCCCATGCCTGCTGTAGAGAAACGGTGATGCAGAATTTGCTTGCTCTGAACCCCCCTAAATGTAGGATCCCCTGCATGTATTGACGGATCCTGTACGGGCGAGCCTGCCTTGAAACCTAACTCAAAATGTCAGGAGCTGAAGTCCAAGGTCCAAGACACAACATGACGGGCACCTTTGCACACGGTGGGCACTTTTTAAAAAGAGCAAATAGCAAGCACTGTGTGGAGCGTACATGAATTTGGGAATTGCAGAAGGCCAAGAGGCGAAATGGATTTGTTTCCTCTCTTGCTTGAGAAAAATCCATCCTCTGAAATGGATATTTGCTTGGTGAAACAAAATCTCACACTGGCAACCTGCAAAAGCCCTCCATCCAGTCACGCAGACATGGGGTTACTTTCCAGATATTTTAAATGCTCAGGCTGTTTTCTAAGGTTATTAAGGTGTATCCAATTACACAGGTACTTTACTGACTCTTGTAACATCTCTGTTTCTCAAGCGACGGGCGATTTGGATTCCAGCGGCTGCTTTTGTACAGTATTACTGCAGATTTTTCTGCTTTTAAAGATATAAAATATCGCTGGCCACCTAAAACAGATGCTGGAAAGGCTGGGTGCAAATATGCAAAATAAACAAACTCAGCCTCCCCAAACTGATCCCGAAGAAGCCTCTTGCCATTGGAAAGACTAGCATTTCAGCCTCAGGCCCACACTCCATAAAAAGTCTACACAGGAAGGAGTTCCTCCAAAATAACTATGGCCGACGTGGCACCTCTGAGCCCAGCAAATGTATGACGGTGTTGGCTTCGACAGCCCACTTGCTCAGAAGGATCTGAAGAAGTATTATGGTCCAAATGCCTCCCGTAAACCTGCACAACTCTCTCTCAAACACACACACACACAGCCCCCAACCCACCTTAATAAACTGGGCATATGACTCTTCTCCAGGCATAGGAGGGTTGACCACAATGTCCATGGCAGCTTGTCCCGAGACCGGCGGGCACAGACGGACGGACAGGAGTTTCACGAGCTGCCCTTTGATGTCCGGGTGGAGATTGACCACCTCCATGTAGCCCCCTCGGTAGCCACACCTGAGAGTGATGGGAGGGTCAAGGGACAGACGGACAGAGAACAGGAGAAAGAGTCAGAGGGGCAAAACGCAACACAGTCAAACCTGTGGCGTGGCAGAAAGACAACCCGCCAACGCAGACAGCTCTCCTCTGGTACCTTCCTGAGGCTATGAACCACAACTCCCATCAGCCACAGCAATCAGAGATGATAGGAGATATAAGGGGTTAGACGGATGGCCTTATAGGCCCCTTCCAACTCCATGATTCTATAATTCGACATTAAGGTCACAAACCTAAGCAGCCATAAAGTGGGGAGGAAGACCTACATAGGATGCCAGTTTGGGAAATGTTGTTTGCTTGTCTGAGCTGTATTTTTGTTAGGAAGGATACGTCAACTGGAGTTTTGAAGGGGGGGAAAATACAAACCAAAACTGAAAGGTTAAGTTAAACCATGTCCAGTATCCTGCTGAGCAGTTCTGCCTGCACAGCAGGAATGATGTCATCATCAATGGCAGACTGCTGCTGATTAGAGACTCCCATTTTTGATCCTGGAGTGCATGTGCCTAGCACACATACAATGAGACAAAATCCTGCACACCCTGACTGCACAAATGTGAAACATATTTACATGATTAGATGGACTGTGACCTGCCTTGGCCTTTAAAAAAGAAAAGAAAAGGAAACACAGGATATAAAGTGAACAACGAAATAAATCCCAGAAAAAGAGGAAAACGTACTCGCCCATATATCCTTTGGATGTGGAATGGAAGGAGGCCAGCTCCACGTTGTTGCAGTAATCTGGGCCCATTTCGTAAAGGACTTTTTTGAAGGAATGGAAGTGACAGCTCTCCGAATAGACATTGTCTTGATAAACCTATGCCAGCAGAAAACACAGGAAGAGTTTTTTTCTGCTTAGGAACTACAAACTGTATGTCATGCATGGCAAAAGACATGGCAGAAAATACGCGCCCTGTGATAAAGGAGAGACATTTTAGCCTGATGCAGTCCTGTGAGGACTGACCAAAGGTATTTATTTATTTAAAATATTTTTATCCCACCTTTAAAAGGACCCAAGGCATAAGCCTTTCTGACTGCAGCCTATTCTTCCAGGGTAGGATCGAGACTCCTATGAAATCTTATGCCAGATATATTTATACATATTTTAATCCATGAGATTCCTTACCTCATCAGCCAAAAGGAACAGCTTCTCTTCCCAGGCAAAATGGATCACATCTTCAATGCATTTTCTGCTTTGAACTTGTCCTGAATTTGAGGGCAGGAGAGAAGGGCCACGTAAGACACTTGCCAAAAAATTAATAATAACAGCAAAAGCCAAGGCCTGATTCTTGGAAGGAAACAGAAGAGAGAGACAGAACAAAAAGGACAACAAGCAGGGGAAAGGTTCTGCGTACCTGTGGGGTTCCCGGGATTGATGATGCAAAGGACCTTCGGGTTGCAGTAGGCTTTGGCTTCGTTCAAGGAGCGCCGCAGCTCATTCACGTCGAGGGCCCAGCAGTTCTCCTCGTCGAGGTAATAGTTCACCTGAATGGCATCCAGTTCCGAAATGGCCGCCGAGTAGAGGGGATACTGTGGGATCGGGATCATCACGCCGGTTCGGGATCGCCCGCCTCCCGAGACGAGGATCTTTAGAATAGTCTTTGTCAAGAAGGAAGGGAAAGAAGAAGGAGGGCTTATCACTTAACAACCTTCTAGGTTGCCCGCAATCCCAAAACAATTAAGCATTCCTACAGCAGTGAAAGTATAAACTCAATGGCACTCATTCCCTAGCTGTAGACAAGAATCCAAAAATGCAGCCAGCTGAATCAGGCTGAGTCAATAAAAGGAGGACCGGTCTTTTGTAAACTTAATGGCTTTTCATTGCCCATCCAATATCAAAGCCTTCTTAAATACTTTGTATTGCAACAGGGATAGCTTGCGAAACCAGACTCTTCCTGGGGATGTTTTCATGCCCACAGATGCTTTCAGAAATACACGAAAGATGCAGCTCTGATTAAGTTATGTCAGCCACCTGTGTGTATGTTGAATTTCCCCCCGCAGAGGCTGCAGGCCCCCTCAGCCAGGCACGGACAGAAACAGGATGTTGGGTTGAAGCGAATGTTTGTCTGAACCCGCACCACTGTTTTCATATTCCCAGCTTCCACCTGGCTGATTCCTGCAAAATACCAGCCCTCCGCTGACTTCTGGCCACAGCTGGCAACTACAGATGAGTGTGACAAACGGCTGGCATTTAACATTAAAATTAAAAACAAATCTAAAGAAGAATTGATTTCAAATTCATTAAGAAGACAGGAAACTAGGGCACCGATTCATCGCATTGCACCATTTTCTGGCAACCTCTGCTCAATGCAGATGGTTGTTCCTGTGCCTCTTATCAACTTATTGTCACCTCAAAGACTATGGGAACACTGAGTCAATAAAACCGTCAAAAAAGGAGTTCTGCAATACCTAACCAGGCCAGGCGATGGCCTTTTAATTATGTGTTTTCCTCCCCAGAGGCAGCCAAGAAGGGAAAGAAGAACCATTAACCTAACTGAAATTAAATGAAATTGACAAAAATCAAAATCTGTGGAGGCAACAGGGCAAATATTGACAGGTTTGGTTTGCTGCAACAGAATCACACTCTTGGGTACACTTCCACTCGAGGGGAGCGGGGTGGATCTCCCATGGAAGGTCAGCCAAAATTGTGCTGCCCCTATTGCACGCTCCAAGTTTCCCAATTTTCTTGGAGGAAAACAAGGAGAGAACCAGAGGAAGAGTTTAGGTTTTCGAGGTATGTGAGACATTCTCCCATGTGAGTTTCGATGGCCCAGCAAGGGATTAGAACCCACATCTCCCGAGTCCTGTTCCATCACCCTGTCCAGGACACAACACTGGCTCTCAGGGTTTCCACCATAAAGCTATCCTCCTGAACATGCTGAAGAACGCCAGTTTTTATTCTCCTCCAGCCATGTCTCCTTCGGGGATCAAGAAGATCTTAGACCAAAACTTTCAGAGTAAGAGATGGCCATAAGGGTGGAATAGGGAGCCAGTGCCTCCTATAATATACAGTGGTGCCTTGCCAGACAGTTACCCCGCATGACAGTTTTTTCGCTAGACATTGACTTTTTGCGATTGCTATAACGATTCGCAAAACACTGATTGCTATGGGTCAATTTCGCTGGACAATGTTTGGTCCCTGCTTCGCAAACCAATTTTCACTAGACGATGATTTTGACAGCTGCCTCCGCGCTCGCAAAACAGGTGGTTTCGGGACCTAAGCTTCGCAAGACAGCGATTTAAACAGCTGATCAGCGGTTCGCAAAGCGGCTTTCCTATGGCCGATCTTCGCTAGACAACGATTCTTCCCCATTGGAACACATTAAACAGGTTTCAGTGCATTCCAACGGGGAAATGCTTTTCGCTAGACGATGATTTCGCTAAACAGCTATTTCAGTGGAATGGATTATCATCCTCTACCGAGGCACCACTGTATATTCTCTGAAGGCAATGGGGAAGGGTCTCGTCTGTGGGCCCGGAAAGTCACGCCTGACATTTGGCTTCCTGTCCTTCTGTCTTGTCTGACCCAGGGGTCTGTCAGTGGTTCGGGTGGGGATGCCAACACCTTGTGGTGGCAAAGAAGGACCCAAGCATCAGTGCGGAGCCAAACCTTCCTCAGCACTGCTGCCCCCCTCCCAAGCCAAGCTCCAACACTGGGAGGGCCCACCTCCTCCAGGAGCCCCATAGTCCCAATGTGTGTTTGGAAATTGGCCAAACTGGAAGCACCAAACACCTTTTCGTCCAAAGGATGAACCGGTACAAACCACCAAATCTGTGGTTCGGGCTCATCTCTAGCCCCGATTGTTCGAAACAGTGGGCTTGGAGAGCCTCCAGTTGCCATGCCAAGGCCTTGAGCCCCTCCATCTATAATGCAGCCTTCCCAGGTCTGGTGCCCTCCCGATCCTGTGGACTACAACTCCCATCAGACCAGAGAGACAGCACGGCCAAGGGGGAGATGGAGACCAAACAAGGGCAGCAGCTTCGGGAAGGAAGGCGTAAAAGAGGCTGCCGTTTATTACTCCATGTCGGGCAGGCGATAAAAGCCAAACTCACTGCAATGCCATCGCTCGCTCCGGTGGTCAGGTAGATATTGTCCGGATCCGCGGGAACCCCTCCATCTCGCCGCTCGATGTAGGCGGCAACGTCTTCCCGAATGCAGTTCACCCCTTGGCTGGCGCTGTAAGAACCTGTTGAGAGACAGGGACCCAAGCATGGAGCAACAGGAGGGAAGCCAGGGAGGAAATCCTGAGATTTGAACCTCCGGATTGCTCATCGTGGGCAGGACCAAGTTATTTTGCTGCCTGAGGCCAAGGAGAAAATGGGGCCAGATTGTGTGCAGAAACCACTCAAATCTCCTTCTGCACCCGCCACGGGAAAGCAGGGGACCCAGGACCATGCTGCGAGGCCCACACTGCTCCATCACCGCTGGCCCTCTTTGGGGCTAGGGTTTAGTTAAGTTCCTAGTCCTTAAGAGAGCCAGAGAGTTTGGGAGAAGAGCTAGGACGCTACTCCCTCCCTGTCTGTCTCCCAAAGCAGTCTCTTCCATCCACCTAAAAGCAGGAGGAAATACCTTCCTCTGTCCCCTGGGTTGACACCCTGAAAGTGTGGTGGGTGACAAGGACAGCCTCCACTAACCGGGAAGGGAGGCCATCCTCATGTGACCTGGAACCTGGGGGGGGAAATCAGGGTTTCAATTCAGGTGCAGTTCTGCTGACCAAAGAGGCTCTCCCGTTCAGAATGATCCCCCCCTCCAAGATTTCAGGATGATGGAAGTGACCAAGCAGGGAGGCAAGACCCACACAATCCCCTAATGTGTGGTGAGCATGTCCTAACAGGAACACCTCCATACAGCTGATGGAACGTCAGCGTGTCCAATTGATCACCGAGCCAATTATCCGCATACAATTGCAGGGTGCATCTGAAATCTAGGGCAAATCCTCTCCACCATCCTGAAGCCTGGGATTTAAAGCCAAGCCAGTCTTAGCAGCTCTCCTGGCCTTGAATGAGCTTGTGCATTTCTCATATTTTCAGATTCCATCAGGTCTGGAACTAATATCCTCCATTAATCTCTAGGAACGCTGCTGGCCTTTATTTGCCTTTCTGAGCACCTATCGTCTATATATCCCAAAGACGCGCCTTCGAGAGGAAAGGTAAGAATGACCACAAGCACCACTTCAGGGTATTGCAATGACAACTTCAAACAGGAAGTGGCAGGAGAGGAGGCATTCGGGTGGAAAGCAGATTCACGTCTCCCTGTGCACCACAATGTGTGTTTCTCAAGCTCAATACCTTAAGGGGGCACCAGGCTTCCGAGAAAGCAAAGTCATGTTCCTCTCCAAAGGCTGCTGAACTACAACTCCCATGGTGTCTCACCTGCCGCTGCGCTGGCTAGAACTCATGGGAATTGTGATCCAAGAAGATCTAGACCAGTGGCCCCCAACCTTGGCCCTCCAGAGGTTCTTGGACTTCAACTCCCAGAAATCCTGGCCAACAGAGGTGGAGGGTGGTGAAGGTTTCTGGGAGTTGTAGTCCAAGAACCTCTGGAAGCCCCAGGTTGGGGACCACCGATCTAGAGGAACACATGATGCCCGGAGGGAAGATTTAATGCAACATATCCACTCCACAAGGTGACACCTGTAAATCCAGCATGCTGAGCGGAGGCTGTTTGCCTGAATAAGAAGGGAACTGGCCATCCATGTTGCAAGACCATCCTGGGAACACTCCTTGGGAGTGAGAGGTTTGCCTGAATAAGAAGAGAACTGGCCATCCACGTTGCAAGACCAATAAAATTTAGGCTACCATCCTGGGAACACTCCTTGGGAGTGAGCTCCATCCAGCTGGTTGGCTTGTCCAGGCTGGAGTGGTAACAGGCGGGGACTTTCCTGCTGTTGCGAGCGAAATCTGCCCCGTATCGCTGTCTCGGCATGGCTTGAGTTACCACCGAGGCACGTCAACTGGGAGATATTCCCTGGCTCCTGCAAACGCAAGGCGGTGGCTCGAAGCAGCTGGAGGCTGACGGACTGCAGCGGCTGATATAACTTGAAACCATGTCACGGTGGATTCAAATAAAATAAAATAAAGTTACATGCTGCGCTGAGGGAAAGAGACGCTCAAGGCCTTGGCAGGCTCTGAGGAATGCAAGAAACGCCAAGTCCTGACCAAGGGCAGAATGGCCGGGCAGAACCCTAAGCCTCCTTCACCCACAGAGGCTGCCATCCTGTCATTTAGCACAGCAAGTTGCAACTTCAAGAGTCAACGGGGCCTACAGAGAAGCTAGCTGACACACACGCCCCGATCCCCATGGATCCAAAGGGTCTCCTCGGGTTGCAACTTAGGGTGCTGAGCGAGAGGATTTCACACACCGTTATCTCAAATTTTCAGCCACCCCCCCGCCCTGGTGTGGAAGGCAGATCCCAGGGGGCAACATCTGGCCGGGCAACATCTGGCCCAACACTTTTCCCATCCTTGACCGAAAGCCACAAAACAAATAAGCAGGATTTGGTCTGACAAGATGGAACAGCAGCAAAGCAAGTCCAACGCCATCGTACGCCGGCCCAGCCTGCCCTCCCCTGATTTTTCACAGGTCCCATCAAATGTCAAATAAGCTTTTGTCACCGAAAAAAAGGAAAGCCAAAACAAAGCCAGGGAACAGGTCTTTTTTTTTTAATTGCGCCTTCCGAAACGTCACATTGCTTTCATCCAGAACCAGGAAAAGTTAATCAGGACTGTCAGGTTGCTGCAGTTCTCAGCGATGCCCTCCAGCCAGGACGCGATCTGTGGCGCTTCACCAGCAAAGGGGGAACAGCTCTGCTACCCGAGTGGATTATTTTTCATTTTACGGACCCTGAGCTCAGAATAAATCCCATTGAGATCCATGGAAGGCACATCCCATAGAAGCAATCCAGGAAAGATATACAAACAGCACTGATTTAAATCATCAAAAAAATAATAATCTAATTTTTAAATTTAAAATTGTGATCTAAATCATGATGTAAATCAATTTGACTTAGATCAAACCCACCCTGCCTCTATGTAAACACGCCTAGGACTGAAGTGGTAGCCTGGCATATTATGTGGGAGCTTTATTCCTGCAGGAAACAGGTTTGAACAAATTCAGCTTTTGGTTTGGGAGGATACTGGGAGGGGGGGATCCAGAAGAGAGGGAGCCTGCGTTTTCCCATATGTGATTTAAGAGGGAAGGTGGGAAAAGGAACACACACTATTTAAAAGAAACAGATCCAAAATGAAACATAGGCTGTCTTGATTGCCATCAGAAATTGCCGTAGAAAGACAGCCATAAATTTATGTACTAATGCTGTAGCATTAAAGGAAATGGCAGCAAAACATGTATAAATTAAACCAATATGAGAAGCGTACCTAAGCTGTTCCCTCCGCAGCCCTGCAATATCCGCCTCGCTCTGTTCTTGGAGTCTTCCGGGAAGCTTGGGCTGTCCAGCAGGTTTGGGTACGTACAGAGTGCAACCACCTGAGTTGTCCAGGGAGCAAAGAAGAAGAAGAAAAAACACAGAACTGGGTTACTGCTTATGTTGATGGTAGACCTCACTCATTACTCTCGCAAGTAAGATTTTTGGAGAGGGGGCTCTCCGTTGGCCCGACAGCCCCTCACCTGGCGAAGGAAGGTGATCGGCCGTTGACCCATGGCATGCGCATCCCCAATGTTGGCTTTGATGACTTCGGTGAAAGGCTTCTTGATTCCCTGTTGGGGGGAAGAAAAAGCACAGAAACAACCCATCAAAATTTTATCTAAGAAAGTGACTGCATTTACACGCATTGCCATTTACAACAGGGTGGGCTGTATCTGGTTCCTCAGTGACCTCTACCGTTCCAGCAAGCCCCACCGGCTCCCTGTTTTTGCCAAAACTGGCCACAATGAGAGAACATCCTGTTCCTCTCCTGTCAGAGGCTAGAGGACATGGCCGCCCCTTTGACCCTCGGGTGCAGCAGCCCTAAGCAAGGAGGCTGGGCTGCCTCAAAACCCAGTTTCCAAGCTTCTTCAACCGGTACGTTCCTCGTTTTCCCATCATTCTCCTCTCATAGACAAGAAGGCTAGGTTCTAAAACATGGCAAACGCTCCCCGTGCACCTTGTTTACAAAGGGAATCATGCTCTCAGAAGCCCTTCCAGAAGCTGGAGTCTTTATCTAAGAAAGTTTCATGGGGAAATATTTTGGGCCAACTTGGAATAGTTGCCAGCTAGGGAATTCTCTGAGCTGTGACTCAAAAAGTTGCTTTTCTAAGCTCCGGGTAAACCAGAAGGAATGCTGAAGATGTCCTCTGCTTACAAAAAGTGTATGAGAAAGAAAAAGAGGAGTATTTGAGGAGTCTATACCATATCACTGAACACTACTGAACTGTATCTGCCATGCATGAATTTGTCATTTCTCTCCCGTCCATATAACATCACACAGCTTAATCGTGGGCTTGGCACAACAGAGAGAGAGATAGCAGGTTGCCAGTTTCATAAATCTTAGAATACAGTGGTGCCTCGCTAGATGATGATAATCCGTTCCACTGAAATCGCTGTCTAGCGAAAAGCAAATCGACATCTAGCAAAAATCGGTTTGTGAAGCAGGGACCAAACATTGTCCAGCGAAATTCCCCCATAGGAATCACTGTTTTGCGAATCGCTATAGCGATTGCAAAAAGTCATCATCTAGCGAAAAAACTGTCATACAGAGTAACTGTCTAGCAAGGCACCACTGTACAGCCAGGGAGGTACAGCCTGCCCGTTAAACACTGCCACATACAACACCACTGGGTTCTCTTGAACCATGGTGCTGGAAGGCAAAATGTTATAGAGAAAATTTCTGATCAGCATTTGAGTCGCATGCAATCACACTCTCTTCATATTAAAAACAGGAACTGGATGTTGTTGGGAGACGTAACCAAAGGAAAAATTAACGAAAAGGCAAGATTTTCTAATGTTTGGACAGCATGCATGAAGGCGTTTGTCATACAAAGGATGAGCTCGTGTTTTGTTGCATGTGAAGAATCATACAGATGAGAATTACGAGCCTGTTTTCCCTTCAAAGGAAAACACTGGGCAGCTGCTGGATGCGGCCGATGGACCGATGGCTGAGGTGGACACAAGGTTAAAGGCCTCCCAAGATGTGGGGCTCAGCGAAGCAAGACCCCCTTCCTGCCCCATTGGACGGAGTACAAAGGCTGCCCGGGAACTGGCTGTGAAGTCAAACATTACTCAGCCGTCTAATTTCATTTACGCAGCTCAGGAATGTGGCAAGTTTAAGAACTTCTCTCCCGCCTCCTCCTTCTTCCTCCTCTTTCCTGCTTGCTTTTTGTAATATTTCCCTTAGAGAAGAGATTTAGAAATCTCAAAATCTTGCACCTATTTTTCAGTCCCCCCCCTTTTTTTTTGCCCTAATACAGGTAATTACAGGTATCAGAGCAAAACTAACTTTGGGAATTTGTCTTCAGATATCAGAGCAAAACTGACTTTGGGAATTTGGCCAATACCGTTACCTTTAAACGTCTCCTGGAAAAGAGCAGTGCCTGAGCTAGGCTCGGTGGAGAAAACAGAAGGGTTTTGCACATTTTTATTCCTAGCAAAAGCCCTGGGGATTTCCTAGCAACAGCCCTGGGGATGACAAGTTTCCTAGCAAAAGTCCTGGGGATTTCTTAGCAAAAGTCCTGGGGATTTCCTAGCAAAAGTCCTGGGGATGACAAGTTTCAGCTGCAGAAATCTAGCAGCTGAAACTTCCCCCATGTGAGGGGGGGGGAGAGAGAGAGAAAATACCCTAAGTCTTCTCTACTTCCCAGGACAAATCATGAAACAAAGCAAGCTAATTCCCAAACTACAGGAGGTGAGAAAAGCTCCCGCTGCTTTCAGCATTTAAGGAATTTCCTCTTTCAATGATGGGGTATCTATAACGTATAGCTTCGCTCTAATGGAGCCTTGAAATGTAATGAACCTTTTCCTTGACAGAAAACAACAGCCAGTCCTTCTTAGCAGGGTTGTCGGGGAGAGATTTCGAGGTAAAAAGACAGATATACTTCGGTATACTTCGACAAAATTACAAAATATATTTAAAAACATGTTACCAAAGGACTGTGCTATGGTGCAATGCCATTGCTTGCTTCCTCGTGGGGATAAACCCGAATGAACCCACTGAGATTTTCTTCCTAGTAAATTTACACAGAACTTTAAATCAACCAGCCCTCCATCCCCACAGGGAGGAAAACCATGTTTAATCATGAGGAGGCCCATCATCTTAAAAACTGGCCGAACCATTTTTGGAGTGTCCTAAAGATGACCCAAGAGCCAGTATTGTGTCGTGGAGTGTGCTGAATGAAGACCCAGGAGATCTGAGTTCAAATCCTCATTTGCCCACCAAAATTCACTGGTGATAGAAATAAAAAAAAAATTTGAACATCTCACATACATCCACAAGCAGAGCTGGAGGTTGGAAGTTAGATTCCCCACGGGGCCTCCCAGGAGAAGAGGCTGCCATGAGCAAGCGGCAGAGTCTCAGGGCAACCCAGGAAGAAAACAGCAAACTGCTTCTGAGGAAAACCCTGAAAAGTGTTGCCATAAAGTCTGAATTGACTTGAGAGCACATGATTATGGTTGGGGCCTCCCAGGAGAAGAGGCCGCCTTGGGCCAGCAACCGAGTCCCGGGGAAACCCCGGAAGAACAGCAAACCACTTCTGAGGGAAACCCTGAAAAGTGTTGCCATAAAGTCCGAATTGACTTGAGAGCACATGATTATGGTTACTTTGTGACGATTCAGAAACAAGTCCCACTGAGTTCCACAGGCTATACTCCCAGAAGAAGAGGGATGGGGTTGCAACCTAATAAATAAATCGGTTCCCAAAGAGATCAGATCATCCACTCAGGAACAAGCCTGCCCGGCATGTCACATTGGCTGCAGTCTCTCTGCTAGTACAGCTTGTGTGGGATTCAAACTGACAAGAGCTGTAACCGAAAGAGGAAGCCTCGGAATTAACCTCCGATGGCACTCGGAGGCTCGGATGAGCCTTACGAGCCATCCAGAACTCCCCGCTGGGTAACCGTCACTGAAGGGAATTTCATAACAAGCTCCTACCTGAGGCCACAGGCTTGAAGCATCCTGCAAACTGCAAGAACTCGGCAAAAAAGAAACGTAGAACTTGTACGAAGAAAACAGCCAGAAAACCTGGGCGATCCACATAGTCCTGATAACATGTTATATAAGGCTAAGGAAATGTCACTGCCTGTCATGGTCAGGTAAATTTCAGGCAGCACATCACGGCGCCAAAGACATGCACAGAGGGAAGAACCACACAGTGCTCGCGTGTTATTGAGAAGCAGGGTTCAAATAAGAGGCACAATGCAACTCTTTCCCCTAGAGGACTACAAGCCCCATCACCCACAGCCTCCATGGGCGGTAGTGGAAGACACAAGGTCAGTTGGAGACGGGGGGGAAGAGAATCCTCCAGACCTAGCAGACTGTTGGCATTGACCTTCGGCAAACAAAGTTTATACTGCAGTGACGAAAGAGTGCTTTTTGTGTCGTCCAGCAGCAAAACGCTACACACGGGGAACAAGAGGACTCTTCCAGCTGCGTCACAGGCAGATAAGGAATGGGGGGGGGAGTGGAACGCTTGCAAAAGGTGCTGCCTGAATATCGGGGTAACCAAAGGCCAAACAAGGAGGGCCAACATGAGTCAGAATGAAGTTGGTCAATCTTGTTCTCCAGATAACCTTATGCATCTTTTGGGGGCGGGGCGGCTTCTTCCTTTTTATCCACCAGTGGAAACTGGCCCCTTAGAAGAAGCAGGATGCTGCCCCATCGTCGATGTTTCCCAAGCCCACCCACCTCTTCCTTACTAGAGACAGCATGTTTCATCCTATGTGAACTCCAAGCCCCACACTGCGTGTCCACGCGCATGCACGCATAACTGTACGTCTGCATCCATAAGCACATGAATGCCCACATTTGACCCCTGACCTCTCTCCCTCGTCCAGCAGGCTTGCTTGCTTCCACCCACAGACTACAGCTGGCGCAAGCCATCACTGCGACCCACCTTCGGAGGGGTTTAGGGGTAAATCCATCCATCCCACACACCGACAGCCAAAGTAGAGAGATTTCTGGCACTCGTCTTAGCTGGATGGATTTCAACAGGGCAAAATATTTTTATACTGCAAAATATTTTTATACTTTTGTTCTAAAACTGGGTGTTGCTCTTCCAGGTACAAACCAGAGATGTGTGCGGTATTGGTGGATTGAATTTTAAGTAATAAAAAAAGTGTCTTCTTGCATTCTGTAGATGTCGGGTGAAGGTCCACGGATGAATATAGATAAATACGTGTGTATGTGACGGGAAACACGGCTCACTCGCCTGAAGGCTGAGTAAACTTTAAGAGAAATAAAGTAAACACTGCCTGAAAGACATCAGCACTGAGTGGATCAACTTAAGTCTTAAGGCTGAGCAGATTGAAACGTCCTTTGCACTGGGAGAACCAGCAGCAGAAGAAGAAAGGTCAGGGCCGGCCTTACCATTAGGCACAGAAGAAGAAAAGGTCAGGGCCGGCCTTACCATTAGGCAGAGTGGGGCAGTGGCCTCTGGGGCCAGGAGACAGGGAGGAGGGAGCCAGACGAAAGGCACATCCACGGATCAAACTAGCTCAACACCTCTCTAGCTAGGATTCCCATGCTAGAGGAATTAAGGGAACCCATTTCTCCCCTCAAACAGCCAGGTCTGTATGTCAGGGAGCTATCATGAGACTGCTGTGAACCTGGGGTGTTCTCTGGTTTAAAACTTCTCCTCTGCCACAGACTTCCTTTATGGTCCCTAAGCAGGTCACCTTCTCTAAGTTTCTGCATTTCAACCTTCATTACAAGGGGACAATAATCCCAATTTACAGCAGGTTGCTGTGGTTCGGATTGTCAAGCGCACGTGCCAAAATCTATGCTGCAGTAATATACGAAGCCAACTGAATGGTGCAAAAAAGAGTGCTAGCTTTTGAGATGACAGATATTTTTTTAAAAAGTAAACAGGAGGGAAGTCACCATGGAGAGGCTTCATCTTAAGGCCATGTGGTTGGATTGTGTCTTGAATTTCGTCTTAGAAAAGTTTACCAAATTGAAAACACCCGAGCATATGTTTTAAACTACATTGCTTGAGGAAGGAATCTAGAATAGAGATCCTGTGAACACATTCTTTTTGTAGAAATTGCTTGCAAGTTAATTATAGAGGCTTAGTCCGGGTTAATGATAAAGATTCCTCAGTAACAAATGAAAAAAAAAAAAAGCAGAATGTCTGGTGTCAGCAAATATTAAGTGGGAAAAAGAACCACACAGTGAAACAGGACCTTAAAGATTAACAGAATTAGGCTCTCCTTGGAAAAGCCTCTGGAAACCAGTTATCGATGACCCCATTATATAAGGCAACAGGATCCTTGATGACATCAAAGGGAGGTGGAGGCAGAAGTAAAGTAAATATTATTTTATGCCGTTTACGATTGCAGTCTTCCACAGCTGAATGGTGGAAGGCGGCTGGGTGGCGTCTTTATTTGTTCTGGTGTGTTGTCAGGAGTCCTGGAGACCTATCTAGCAAAAATATCAAGATAACACAAACACTAAAAACTACCACACTCGTTTTCCAGTTCTTTAAATTTATAAGGACCGTTGCTAGTTCTTTCTTAACGACAACACGACATGTCCCCGGTTTCCCCACCCCGCAAAAAAAGCTTGTTTTTAAAAAAGAGTATTTTCAAGGCTTCAAGAAACAAGAAGGGAAGGTTTGGGGCCATCTTCTCTAGAATAATTTCCAAAAAAAAAACACCAAACTGTTTAAAAGCAGAAACCATTCACCAACTTGATTAAGCAGAAGCCATTTAAATTCATTTAACTGACTTCACCGAGATAAGAAAATCTAGACTACAAAAAGTCAGATGACTTCAAAATGCACATGATGACAGACGCTAAACCCCAGAAAGCTGGGAGGAATTGTTCACACAATTGGGAATACTTTGTGAGAAAGTTTATCTGAACATCATTATTTTTAAAAAGTTGCAAAGGTAATTTTCTTCTAAATGTAGCCAAAGGAGATTATTGTTTTACGGAGCAGGGGTTTCCACCATATGTTTTCCATTTACACTACAAGCAGTCCAGCGCACACCAAGAGGTGTAGCACAACCTCAAACATATCTGGATGGCAACTACCACTGGGGTTTAACTTAGCATGGTGAGCATGGTATTCAGCCAGGCAGGTACCGTTGGGACACGCTAAAGTGCTACCAATTAAAAACTGACACACACACTCTCTATCAATTTTGACATTGATTTCCAACAAAACAGGCTTGTTCGCAATATCCCAGTTGATGCTTGTTTGGAATGAAAATGCTTCTCCTGGGACCGAGGAAAACGCGGCCCAAAGGGTGCAAGCTTTCGAGTTCTGCAGAACGCTTCATCAGCCCTAAGCCCATCCGCTGGGACTTGGAATTCTGCAGCACTGGGAAGCTTACACACTTCGGCTCCGCCCGCGACTGCAAACTGGGGCGAGGGAGGGAGGGCGCCGGGCTGGGAGTGTCAAGGGACCGGTGGGCGCTCCGTGCCATCCTCGCCTCCTTTGCTGAATCACAGAACACCCCCCCCCCGCTCGGACCCGGAATTCTGCAGCACTGGGAAGCTTACACACTTCGGAGGCATTTTTTCCCCCCTACAAAAACGTGCACGCTTTTGCGGCGTCCTGGGCTCCTTGCGGTTTGAACCAGGGAGGGGGGGCTGCACCTCAAAAGTGAAGGGAGGGAGGGGCATATCGACCCCTGCGCTCACCTCACCCCAGGACCCACCCAAGCCCGGCCAATCTGCTCCGGGGGTGGGGACTGGAGAGGCTCGACGGCCGAGCGAGCGAGCCTTCCTCCTCCTCCTCCTCCGGCCGGGCCTCCCGAGGCTGCCCCAATCAAGAG